CCTGCCAGAAAAACAGCAAGTAGCAGATATCCTAGCAGACAGTCAATCTAATTAAAAAAAACCAACAAAACCAACCAAAAAAACCCAAAACAAAATTCCTGTTAAGTTTTTATACTTACCTTTAATTTCCCTATATGTACATAGCCACATATATCGGTATTAAAAGTATATCATAAAACTATTAGTCTATCTACTGATATGTAGGCTTTTATAGAGCTTTTAAAAAGGGTTTTCTAAAATCCCCTTTTGAAGAAAAAAATGCTTCTGTAATCTAAGAAGTGTTGTCTGTAGAAAAGATACTAGATTTCAGAAGTGACTGTAGAAATGCTGCCCTGAAAGGTAACTGTATGAAGAACTTGTTTTCAGATTAAGATTCTCAAATCTTAAATGTTTTTGTGCATTTTCCCAGTCTCTAAGTGGTGGAGATATCCTTTGTTAATACGTGCTTGGGGATTCAGAGTTAGCAACACTACCTCAGGTTGTCAGCTAACTCCCTCATCTTATTATGAATTAAGTTTTAAAATAATTGCAAGTCTGTGGTGGGTTTTAGCACTGCCTAAAATCACCAGGGCACTTACTTATTGTGAGATACGGATTAGGAGAAGGCTTAAAGCTACTCCATCTTTGAGTCAAGCAATTTTATGGGGAGAAGAATGTCACTGTGAAACACACTCCTAGAGCTGCTAATGTGACTCTTCTAATGGATACTGCTGTACTTAATACAGAAATCCTAAATTTTTTCATGTGTTTGCTGTAAAACAGATAAAAAGCAGATGCAGAAATCTCACAGCTGTTTTGGTTTACCAATGCTAACTTGTACAGCTGACTGCCATCCAGAGGCAGCAGGTTTAAACTGGTTTCAGCTGCTTACACTGACCAAGTAGCATTCATCTGTTAATCTCATCATAGGCAGGATTCTAAGATTTCCAGATAAACTTGAATCTGGGGAGAACCATTACTACTCTAGAAATTTTATCTGGGAAAAATATTTTCATCATTTTTCTGGGCAGGTATATAAATTGATTTTATACTTTCTTTTTGAATAATTTTATAGAATTTTTGGGATTCAGATTGGATTGGGGATTACTACACAGAACTAAGACTTTGTTTTCAGTAAGAAGTTTTCCTGTTCTACATGAGTCTTCTTGAAAAAACTCCATAATTTATACTAAAGCATATATAAAAATGAGAAGAGTTACCCAATAAACCTGAAAGGTGTAACAATGAAAAGGGGATGAAGCCACTTCTTGTACTTGGGAAGAACTGTGGGTCTGCTGGAGTTTAGAATAAAGTCTGATGTCTTTGAAATGTTACAAAGTTAGCATTTTCTGATTTGTCTGTATTTGAAAGTTAGTTCAAATTAATCTGATGTATGAACATGTGTCTGTGAAACTGGAACTTGTGTCTGAGCGCAAATAGGAAATATGAGTATGATCAGCAGTAGTTCGTACCGGCAGTCTACTGTGAGTAGTAGGAGATTGGCATTTGAAGATTATACTTCTTGATTAATTTACAGGAGAGGGAATTAATGTCATAGAAGAGGAATTGGTTTCCTGTGTTCTGCATCACTAATCTACACAAAACATTTGAGAACTTGGTTATGCAATAAGGAAAGTGGTGTAAAGTTACTGTTTATGAAAACAAACTTAGATAGGTAACTTAGGCTATACAAAAAAAATTTGCCTATATTGGCATTCTTGTACTGCTTTCAGAAGAGCAGAAAAAGCAAAATACTTTAAGGGATGGTATGGGACAAAGTTACAAAAGCCTTGAGAACATCAAGATAAACAGTATTAGACATTCTCCCCTCATTCATGAGCCATTTCATGGCAGCAGAAGGCTATCAAGTAGTCAGGCAGTTTTCTCTTTATAAATCCATACTCACAACTCCCAGTCTTCTTCTTGTCCTAAACATGTTTGAAAATGGCTGTCAGGGGAATTTGCTTCATCACTTTCCCAGGGACTGAGGTGGGGCTTGTGAAAAATGAGGTTCACATAATCTTTATAGAATTTAAAAGTTTAATAAAAAAGACAATTAGGAGAAAAAAACAAAGTAAAGTATACAGATACGGCCAGGTGTCTCTGCATTCTTGCCCCCTTCCCAATAGATCAGTCTTCTTGGCACCATCGAGATTTACATTCCCTGATACCAGAAATGCAATAAATTCCTCCCCCCAGAGTCCTGGTCACTGCTGTCTTCATCTGGATAAGATAGTTTACAAAAGAAAAAAAGGGTCTCCAGCTATCTTTTTCAGTCTTTGGGTTATACAGACAAAAGTAGTTTTTGTTTTAATACTGTGTCATAGCTTAACATATATGTATTATACCACTATTTCTAACAGAAATAAAGGAAACTATGTTAATACAACAAAATTTCCCATTCTTATATACATAACATTCATTTTAGTATTTGCGAAAAGCCAACAATATAATATGTAACTATAACAGACTAATTTCCCCCTAATTTTACCAATGCTCCTTCCAGCCAACCAGAATCTAGGGGTGACATTTGCCTCCCCAAGTACTATGACTCTGAAAGATAATTAGAGATGGTCACACAGTGCACTGGCTAGATTCCTCAGCACTCACAGAAACATCCCATCATGTCCTGTGACCATGCATGTGAACAATCCCTTTAACCTTGCTCTCCTTGACCATGGGTACATCTCCTTTGCTCAAGCTATCTCATTAGTCTCAAGGATTTTAGATTTCCAGAAGCAAGTTTTACCAGTGCTAGAGGAGTGGTTGAATCTGAAGTTAAATTTCATTTCTCATAAATTGCTTAAAACTTAGAACATTTTATTTTTATCAAATAATTGTTAGCTCTGTGGCTAACATTCTTTTTGAAGTCTTTAAGGTTCCATTTAAAGAAAGCTGATGAAAGCTTTCTAGTGCTTCTTTCTTTTACCTCATGTGATTTCTGCCCCCTGCAAGTGCAGCAAGTACCACAGAGAAGTCCACCTCTATCAGACCACCTATTGTCTGCTTAAAAGATGACTTCTTGTAATGAAAAGACTTTTCTCCTGATCCTCTAAAACAGCTTTTATTGTAACTTCTTTCTGAATTGCCAGTATTTTTCTACTAGTACTTGCAATTAACATTACCCGGTAAATGCTTTTTAATTCTCATGGGAATATCACAGAATATAGTCTTAGTCAAAAGGTTAATAGTCACTGTTATTTAACAGCTTCACCATTTTTCATTTAGGTAACCTGGAATTTAAGTTTAAATCCAAAAAGACGACGGACAGAATGCCTTGTGTTTTGCTTGTTAACCTGACAAGCAAGGTGGAAGTGAAAGAATTTATTTACTGAAGCTTTATTTACATGCACAAACACAGTTAATAACAAGTAAAAACAAGTGAGCAAAATTGAAAAGTAACTTGTACACATATTAATTCACTTTGATCACTGCTAAAGTTTTCTCTAGACCTACAGCAATTTCTAAGATGCAAGTCTGTTATCCATTGATTAAAGAGATGTTTGAGCACTACTTGTATGATTCCCTTTTTGACCATCTACTCTTTTTATTTCTCAAAGCTCACGGGGTTTTTATTTTAGGAGAGGAAGTGGCTCCTTAACACCTTTGAATTTTGAACAGTTTGACTAAAATAGTCATTGCTTGCTTCCAGCCTTTTAGTGGCAGCATGTGTGACCCAAAGCTTTCAGAGTTAGATTTTCAGGAGTCTGGGATTGGTGTGATTTTTTTGCCTATTCTTCTTGAAATAGAAATTCATTGATTTTCCAAGCTAATTTTGTACTGTGGCAGGGACAGATAATTACAAAATTTAAACACTGTTTTGCTTGCTTTGTTTTCAGAGAGCAAACCCGTAGCTCAGAATTTCGTATGTACTGTTACAGGCTTTATCTGAAGAAGGGTATCTCAGTCGGTTCTGACATCACAAGGCTCTTTGTGAATTTTAGAGCTCTTTTTTATTTTGGACTCTCCACTGAGAGATACAAGGAGAATGGATAAGAATATTCACACCAGAAATAACTTCTACATCTCTACTAACCATCTTTGGACAAGATGTATTAGTGAAAACATAACAAAACTTTATGTAAGGTTCCTAAAAATAGTATAATAGTATCAGTTTCATTTTCCACAATATATAACAAAATATCTGGAAGCTCCAGTTAAACTTCTTTCAAGCTAACTAGAAGCTGCCAGAATGGCTGAAAGGATTTAAGTCTTGTGCTTTTAGAATATGAATTTTATTTAGAAAGAGATGAGTGCACTGATAGTAATTTTGAAGTTAAGTCCTATCTGAAACATATGCATAAACGTATTTAAAATCTGACAATTCTGAGAGAAAAAAAAATCTGACAAAATCTGTATCTCTGACAATTGCTTAGAATGACATTTCTGTAATGTATTGAGCATCAATAAAGGAAGCACTGCCCAGACTTATCCATGGAAATTCAGTAAGAACTGACCTACTTGCTCAGGGAACTGTCACAAATTTACAGTATTTTTCAGCCCAGATAGCTTCAGAAATGCTTCAGTCTCTTCTCAGTTCATGCCTGCGGCATGGAAAGTCTTACAAACTGTCTGAAACCTTAAGCCTTTCAATGCCAAGATGCACGGGTCCATACCACTAGGAAAGACTGCAGTTTGATCCTTAATAGTGATACCCCACACATGAAGTGTTCAGCCTCATTTTGTTCAGCCGGTGTAGCTTTTAAGGAGAATCTGAACTACAACTGCAGGCAAGATTAATTTAATTGGGATAGAGTCACAGTCAATTTTTAACAGAACCATTTACAACCCGTTCTATTACAAGCCTTTCCTGTTTAGACAGAGGGTGTGTTCAGAGGTTGGTTTTTTTTCCCTAGGCCGATTAAACTGTCTCTTACTAAACGCGGCCACCAAAGGCGCAATTAAACGCAAAACCTCATTTTTCTCTGGGGCCTCTCCCCTGACGGGCCCGAGCCGCCGACGGGGCCGCCAGGGCAGCCCCTGGCCGGGCGCGCGTCAGCAGNCCTCTCGGTGGGCGGGCCCGCGCCCCCGGGTGCGCGCGGTAAGGCTGGGCAGGCGTCGCCATGATGAACAGCGGCGGGATCGGGGTCCCCTTGGGCTTCCCCCTGGGCCCCACGTCTGTCATCCAGGTCACCAACCTCTCCTCGGCCGTGACCAGCGAGCAGATGCGGACGCTCTTCGGCTTCCTGGGAGATATCGAGGAGCTGCGTCTCTATCCCCCGGAGTAAGTGGGGCCCGTGCAACCCTCCGCAGCGACGGAGACTAGGAATGAGGGAGAGGCGCGGAGGGGCCGGGGGGTGGCGAGAAGGGCAGGGGTAGGAGGCCAGACGCGCCATTTTGAGTGCGGGCACCAGGGAAGCGTCACGTGGTCCCTCCGCTTTGTATGGCCGGAGCGACGGGGAAAGAGCTGCGCCCTCACTTAAGATGGCGGCGCCAGCCGTTTTCCCCCTTTCCTAAAAACCCGCTTTCTGCGGCCTATCTGTTTCCTCGCCCGCGCTGGGTGCAGGCGAGCTAGACCGGGGAGTTCCAGGCCTGCCCTCGCCCGACTGCCTTTATTTTTTTCTTTTTTTCCCTTCTGGGAAAGGGAAGGGCGCTGTGCTCCGAGAAGGGGGCCTTTCGAGCAGAAGCCAGAGTAGCTGAGGTTTTGCAGAGGGCAAAGGAAGGTACCTGCCCTGCCTTGTGTTCGGAGTCGCCCCCAGTAAGACTTAACGCAGTAAATTAATCATGGGCATCGCATCTCTTCCTAAATTATAGCGGTTCGCGTGGTGTCAGCAGCGTGCGAGGGGTGCGCTCAGGTGGGAGATGCAGGGGTTTGCAGAATAACAGTACTGCCTCTCCCGAGAAGGCGATGATCAGCAGAAAAGGGGAAGAAATGAACATTTTTTCTTCTCTCGAGGCAGCAGTTGTACTAGGAAGCGAATAACAAATGTGCCTTGTCAAACCTTGTAATTTCTTAGAAAAATAAAATCGGAATAGTGGGAAGGAGAAGGTGTTGTTAGCATCCAAATACGTGAACTTTGATACAAAAATGCTCAGGCTAACAAAACTTCGATTTCCAAAAAAGAATAGCCAAAAAGTTGCTGTTCATCAGTTTTTATGTAGCAAACATCTGACTATGTTCGAATACCAATCATTCGGGAAAAAAAATATATTTTACATGTAAAGATATGCTTAAAGTAAGATAATGCCTTACTGATAGATATATGATGGGTTTTTATACAGTTTTCTAGGGCTTTGTCCTGGACGTGTTCCATAGTTGATTCTTTATATTTTGGGTTTTCTCTTGACTGAATATATATTTTTTTTGTTATGGTTGTTGCTCTTGTCTTTCATTAGGTTATATAACAGATTTTAATGGAAATGGGGACTTTCTTGACATTCATACACAGATAATGTTTATGCTAACATGTCCAATTTTGCCAGGGTATATATACACATAAATCACTAAAATCCAGTACCATAGTAGGGAATAACTTGGGAATGTCAAGGTTATAATGCTGATGAATTCAGTTTTCAGAGATAGGATGCAGGATTGTGATTACCTGTTTAACTCTTGATTTTATTTACTATTATTTACGCATAAATGTTAGAAGTATAGTTTTCCTTGCCTCATACTTAAGGACATTTGAGTTGACTTCCAGATTGCTACCTTGGAAGAAAATGAAGTATTCAGTGCCCTTCCTTAGAAACAAAAAAAAAAGTGCCTCCTGTTGTCTTTCTCAATATTTAAATAACATTGTGATAAATTCATAAAATAGTATTTCATTGGCAAGTCTGTGGGAGGCAAAGGTGTCCCAAACAAAATGTAGATCACTATCAGTTTGCAGTACAGTTAAAAATGGAATCTGGTTTGCAGGATGTGACAGGTCTTTTGCCTTGGGTGTGTACTCCAGTATGGTAGCCACTGACACAGCCTAGTGGTGTTTTCCAATTTGGCAGGAGACCTGTAATTGGATTCTTAGTCCCAGACATGCACAGACGGTCCCGTGCACTTGTGACCCAGCTGAAGTTTGCCTTTCAGAATAGCCTTCAAAATTACATGTACATGTAGCAATGAGCCTTCAGTTGTGGCTTTTAGAGGATTTTTGAGCAGTTGAACAGAGTGTTGAAAAACTTATGGAGCAACAGCTGAGTTTTTGCAGAATGAGTTGTTTGAAAGCAGGGAGTTGCAAACCGTCTCTACTAGGTGTGGAAAGACCTGCTGTGTGATACTGCTTACTTCTGAATAGTCTTGAATGGTCTTGGAAGCTAGAATATTATTCTCTGTTTGAGAATAAACTTTTGGTTTAACCAAAAGTTGGATGTTGGGCTGGTTTGTCATAGCCCTTCCCTAGTCAAGGGCAAGACTGGATTGGCCTCTGTGTTCTGCCACCAGGAAGCTCCGCTCTGGTTGCAACCCAGTAGGCGTTGAGAGGTGGAGACACATGCCATACCAGACCTTGGCAATGGGGTTTGGGGCCTCCTCTGGTTTGGAGCATAAAAGTGTTCTGTTCATGAGCCAGAGTATTTGGACAAAGCCTAGCTTAGCATTGAGAGGTGCCACCCACATCACTCTCACTTGTATAGCTTACCTGTTCTGACGCATGTGGATGGGCTACCTTCACTTAACCAAGAAAAGGAACATGTCATCTGAGAAAAGGGCTCGTCGTGTGTATGGTCCAATAACATTGTTATAGCCTGCAGTGACAGCAATATAGGGGATGCTTCTGAGGCAAAACACACACGGCCATATTTAAACTGATCTGCACAGTTATTCCATAATATTCTCTTAATGAGTTACTAATTTCTATCATTTCCTCCACATCTCTCAAACCCTACTTCCCTGCCCCACCTGAGAAAACTTGGACAGTTAGAGAAATGCAGCCTTTTCTTTGTTTTTCTTTTTTTAAATACCATAGATTTCTGAATAGATCTTTCTTAGGAAATACTTCAGTTAATTTTTATTCTGTTAGGAGATGAAAGTTGCTGTCTTTCTACAAAGGGAAACAAAAATGTTAGAAATGTCCAAATACTATTTAGATATTTATTTCCTCTTAATTTTTTTTTCTGAAATGACTAATTTAATTTTAGTAACTTTGAATCAGAGATATATGAGCTGCTTTTTGGCATCAAGGCTGTGTAACCTAGGAAAAAGATCACGAGTTTCCGTCAATTCAGCCTCAGTAAAGGCTAGCAAAAAAGAGAATTGGAATAGGACTTTACTGTTTTAGGAAAGCCTTCTTAAAAAGGCTGATGGGAGGATTTTGGAGGACCCCTTCATAAAAGGAGAGGACTTGATCACTGTTAAGCCTTCTAGAATTACAGATCTCTTAGATCTTAGTAATTTCTCTTGATGCAACTTCGGTGTGTTTTTAGTAGAGATGGTTGCCTTATAGAGAATTTCTCTTTCCTAACCTTTGGAAAACACTTGGTATCAAGATGTCTTTGTAGGTGCTCATTTGCACCAGTGTTCAGACATCTAATATTTTTTAACATACTGGCCACATATGTGGCTATGCCAAATAGCTTTTGTGTTCTAAATCAGGAAATACAGGAGAGTAAATGTTACAAAAACGCTTGTCATTGCAGGCTTCATAGATTTTAAAATTAATAAGGATTATTTGGGGGTGGGGGGGTGGTCCTGAAACTTCCTAGAGCAGAATTATATTTTTGAGTTGGCAATGAAGAAAAAAACCCCAGGAGATACTAGAAGTCTTCAGCAGTGTGGACCATTTAACCTTCAGTGGTGGCTTCAGCCATTTGGCTTGTAACACTGAGGGGTATATTTAAAAAGAGACAAGCAAACACAATAACAGAAAACCCAAAGATACCATCTTCTCCCTCCCCTTAGAGTCTTCTCCCCAACCAAACCAACCAAACCAAACCAAATAAAAAGCTACTTGTGGCCATAGAAGCCTTTGGTGGTAAGCAAAGTTTCTCTAGAGTACTGAAAAAGTCACGGCTGGCTGTCACCACTTACAGCTGGCTCAGGAGCTATTCTATGCAGTTATTTCCTTCCTGGGTGTGGAAATTTGAAACGGTGAAAACATGAGCCACTACAAATAAATAAAGTGGGCAGAAGAAATGTAGTCATCTTGTAATGTTTTTCTAAATTGTATGAGGTTGACTTTCATGTTTGTGTCTCCCACTCCCTGTTCAGTTTTTCCTTCACAGTGCTGTCTGTTCTTACAGAATTTTCCGTCATAGATGTTTGTGAATGCCATTCTGAATTTGGCCTTCTCTAGATATTATACATTGGTGCTCCTGTCCTGGTAGCCAGAATCATACTAGTCTGCCTGCCTCATGGATACATTCTTGGTTTATTTTTGTAAATAGTATGATGAGATGATGTGTCTAAAACTTCGGATTTGTATTTAAATCCTGAAAGCTAATAGAATTTCATAGAATAACTGGGGAAGCATGTGCCCAAGCACGTTCAATTCAAGGGGATTCCAAGATGGGTTAAACTTGATTTGCTGCTGGTACTTCCAGAAATAGAAGTGTTTCCATTTTGGTTGAGACAGGACCAGGTGAAACAGTCTATGCAACATTTTTTCCATGATTTCAAATGAAAATTGCAGATATTTCAACAATATCATATTGTATTCTCTCTTTGAATATTTTATCTGTACTTCCTTTGTGTGAAGAAATAAGCTGCTAATTTGAACCTTGACAATGGAATCCATTTTTAAAGCAAACTTTAGTTATTTTGATCAAGATTGCAGTGTTTACATATTCTCGGTTGGCATGCTGTGTAACAGAAAAGTAAATTACAAATTTTCTTCCCTTTTGTAGCCAAATGGTGAGTTGTTCCTACTTCCTCCAGTGTAACTTACTCCATGCTACATTGTGCCAAACTTAGGCAAAGGGTGAAAATTGGTTTTGTTACATTGGTCAGCTAAGACCCAGTATTTGCAAGCCCTCTCTAGAACTGCTTTTATCTTCGTAAGACTTAATAAAACTACTTTTATGAAAGCTGGAGAAAGAATATTGATTATTACAGGCTAATATCTGAAGGACCCACCAAAGAATGGCAGGGCTTGTTGTTTGACTTTCCTAAACTAAGATTATTTTCAGAAAAAAAGATAAACTATGAAATAATTACATGGCAATTGTAATTGTCAAGTAAATATGCTACTTAAAATAGTAATTTGAAATGTACTATTCAGTGTTGAGTAGCCAGATAATAGAAGAAAACTAGTCTTGTTAGTGATTTTGGCTTATGTAAATTTTCATTAGAAAGCTGCTCAATGCGTTTTTCACTGATACAACAAATTGGCTGGTTAGTAGATTTCTGTACTTCAAACTTCCTTTTCTAGGAAAAAAACTTTTTTTTTTCTTTAAGGAGTAATAGTTAAAAATACATGCATGCACTTATGATTGTTATTTTTTCCTTTTATCTTGCAGCAACGCACCTCTTGCTTTTTCCTCCAAAGTATGTTATATTAAGTTTCGTGAAGCATCGAGTGTTGGTGTGGCCCAGCATCTAACTAACACGGTTTTTATTGACAGAGCTTTGATAGTTGTACCCTGTGCAGAAGGTTGGTATTTTTGACATTTTTTCCCAATGTTGGTCTTTGTTGTGTCTGTTGTTTTAAGCTTTCCATGTAAGGTGATGCTCTGTTGTTATTTCATTTTATTGCGTTTTGAAAAAAGGCCTTGAAACAAAATTGAAAATTGAATGAAGAAAAACACAGTTATACATGTTTAATTGAAATTCAGCAATAGCAAAAAGATAGTTGGTTTAAGTTATGATAACTCAGGTTTCCATTGTAATTGCATATTTTTAAGGAAAAGAAAGGAATATAATTAATTATATTTTGTGTTAGCAAGTATATTTGCACACAGAGTTCTCACTGAAGTCAATGGAGCCCTGAAAAGATTAAGTAATTTCCTGACACATAACATTGCAGTTTGAGTCGTAATGTGTCACCTTTGCTGTAGAGAGCTTTTTGGTGATTTGTTCTTTTTTAAAGATACTGGTTATTTCTACATTTTTTTAGAGTGAATCCCAGTTTTTTCTTATAGACATGATATATTCATTTGGCCATTTTAAAGTCATCTAATCTAAGATACTTATCATTCAAAATACTGTTTGAATATAACACTATAATAAACTAAATAAACTGTTAGTTTAATTTTTAAAAAACAATTTTTCCTTATTGTTACTGTTGAAAACGTTACTTCAAGTGGGATAAAAAACTTTTCTTATGTATACTGGTACTCCTTTGCTTTGGATGTCTGTTTAAATATGCAGTGATCTGTCCAGAAAGCTCCCATTACAAAATGTTCTTAAAACTCTTAATGAGATAAAATACTTGATGGATGCTAAATTGACAGATGGTCCTTTAACTGGCTCTGAAGCCGTGCTTTTACGGATGTGTTGAGTACCAGACAGTTTGTGTGGTTAGTACAAGCATCCTAGATTTGAATACAGTTACATGGAGCAGGGTTCCATGGCAGGCATATCAATGGAGTTAGGCAGAACTTCATTGACTTCATTTGGATCACTGTGGAATTTAGCCTCAGACTGGTGCTGTACCTTTTACCTCTTTAAAATTGAATCATTCTAGCTGATGGAGTGAACCTGACTTTTAATTTGGTTGCTGTTTTGCCATGATCAGCAACATGTAGAGTAGTTGAACTGTAAACTGTAACAGATCAAGAAGTACCTCTTATTAACGTTTCTAACTGCAAGAGTCAGGTTTTGGTTCAAAAAAATTACTATTGACTTCTTGCAGTTTGTTAACAGTGGTTCCAGAGTACCATTTTTCAGCATGATTCCTGCATCATGATCTAGATAGTGTTCTACACTATCTAGATATAGATATGTATCTATAGCTACAGTAGAGTGCTGCTGTAATATTCATCTGGGACGTTATTAACAAACTGACAAGTCTCCAAAATTTCACGAACTATAAAAGTAGTTTCACTAAAGGCCATATTGACCTGCAGTGTACTGCTTATTCTTGTAGCTTTCTTAGACAGGTCATACAGCACATATATTTGTCTTTGTAAAGCCTAGATTTTTAGTTCCTTTTGTGTCTTGTTTTGGGGGCTCTTTGTTTTCATATTTTTAACTTGTTCTTAAATTACAAATAGAATATTCCTGTATACAAAAAGAATACTGCTGTATGCACTGGAAGCTCTGTAGAGGCTTAGGGGACCAGAGTCTCCAATTGCCCCTAAATAAACAGTCTAAAGATTATTCAGAATCTTAGTTTTATATTTCATCGATAAGATCTTAACAGTGGTTCAGTACTACCAGAGAGGGAAGATGGCTGCCTAATGAGTGAACAACACTTCCTGGTGTTTTTCTTGTGATGAGATCACTGCCTGACATGATATGGCAACAGGCAGGTAAAGCTATATTTTACTGTGTCTTTTGTGGTAGACAGTGAATGAAAGGAGAATAAACCAAAATTCTAACAAATCTTTTTAAAAATCTACTCATAACTGGCTGATCAGGCATTACTGAGAAAACATTGTCACTGTTCAGAGTCATTCTGGACTCCACAGAAATGTATGCATAGTTAGGTGAACAAGTGATTGCGTTTTGAGGTCCCTTTTTTTTATGTCAAAATGCTCTTTATATTAGAATCAGTTATTTATAAAAAGATGTGAATTTAAACAAATTTAATTTTCTGATGAACTTAGTGTGTGGAATAAGTATGGCTTTGGAGACCATGCCACAAGGGTTTTTACTATGTATCATATGATGCATTGTTAATGGAGTCAGTGGAGTGGATCATGGGTTTTAAAAGTAGTGATGGCTTTTTATCCTACCAGGAGGTAAAATTATACCACTGGCCAACATTGCCAGTAACAAAACATTTAATGTGTGAAGTTAAACATAGAGGAGAGGTAAAACGGAAATCTGAAAGCCTGGTTCAAAAAAAAAGAACAAAATCTGAAATTTGGAATGTATTTAACAGTGGTAAATCAAGGAGGAAGTCACTACAGAATGGTATCAATGAAAAGTATGTAACATTTGATGAACAACTGAACAAAAGTGTAATTGTAAATGAAGTAAGAGTATTAAGCTGTGAAAATATGACTTTTTGTATGTGTGTATTGGTAGGTTTTTCTTTAAATATACTTTGAAAATGCAAAGGTTGAAAGCTAAACAAAGATGCCACCCTAATCTTTCTAAATTTTATGTCCACATTATCTGGTAGATGGATTTTGACTATTAATTTGGTTTTGTATGTTTTCTCTGTGTGATATTTGTGCATTATTAGATGACTAGACTGGCCAAGGCAGACCTGTTACACTTGCCTGAGTTAGGCATTGTTTGCCATGCCACTAAACCTGCCGCCAAGTGAAACCTTCATGGGGGAAATGAGATCGAAGTCTGACCTGCTGAAGATGGACGCCCTGTCTCTGTTTTTATTTTATTTTGCTTTCTTTCCTTTGTTTCTTTTATTTTTATTTTATTTTGTCCCTTTTTTGTTTTGTTCTGTTAAATCTCTTTCCCTTGTACTTGTGAACTGGTACTTCAGTTCTGTAAAATGATGTCTGTAAAGGGTTCACAGTGTTTGATTTTGAAGTTGACCTGGAGCTGCTTATGAATGGTGGATGGTATACAGAGAATTTAGAATATGATTAGTTTTTAATGCTCTGAATTAAGGATAAATTTGATTTGGAATTCTTTTAAGTATCTAAATTCAACAGATGAGTACATTGTGTCAAAAGACAGGAGAAGTGAAAAATTTATCAGTTCCAAGATACATTCTTCCATATGTTGCACTTTTTAAGATTGTATTGGAAAAGGACAGTTGAAACTATTACTTCTGGAGAAAGCAACTTTAGAAAGTAAAGCCATAATATTTCTCTGCTATTTTTCCTCAGCAGAGTGTTTTATTTTATGTTTCAAGAGCTATTTAAAAGAAGACTTAATATTTATGTCCAACATGATGATATAAAATAATTATTTCTGAAATTGCACTTTGATGAATATTGAATGTCATGAAATATTTGTTTGCTTCTGATGAAACCTTGCTCCAATGAGGTCAGTGGTAGTAAGATTTCATCCTTCTTTTTCCCTGTAACTTTCAGAAAAAACTATTTACCACTCATAAGTACAATTGCAGCCTGAAGTTTTGGTTGGAGTGTGTTATGTGAGACATACTGTCTTTTAACACTGTTACTTGTGGAAGATTGAATCAATTCTCTTCGTGTGTGTGTGTGTGTGTGTGTGTGTGTGTGTGTGTGTTGCACTTTGACATGCTCTAGTGGTGATTATTTCAGGAAGAGGTTTAAAAAAACACTGAAGTCAGAAAAAAAAAAGAGTTTTTCCAGTCATCTCAGAGTCTCAGAAGCCCTGGCAATTCATGCTGGAGTGATTGAGATGGTTCTCATCCCTAAAGGATGTTTTTACTTCTCGTGAAACAGAAGCCCTGAAACAGAAGTGGTGGTGGACAAAGTGGTGTGTCTAGTCCTCAGGCATTGCTTTTCCCAGCCAACTGCACTGGGATCTCTTGGTTTCACTCCTTTCACCACACTCTGCACTGCAGCTGGGAAGAGCTTTGATTTGTGATGTTTGTTGGATTTGGCTGTGACAGTTGTAATTGCCAGTAGCTGTAATCTCTTTATTCCCTTCTGCTAGATCCAGAATCTAAACTAAGATTCATGAATTGGATCTCATAGAAATTATTTTATTTCTAAGTGTACATGTTCCATTGGTGTAAAGTAGCAGGAAAATAATTAACTTTTTTAATGTTTAAAGTAGATTGTCATCTCTTCAGCATTTTTAAAACAAGCAAACTCATTGCAGAAGCAATTTTGAATGTGAGGATTAACTCTACAGGTTCACCACAAAGAGCTGGAAATTAATTTCTCTTGAGCACTTGAGGACTAAAAATACTGTGATTAGTACTTGTATGATGCAGATGATTATGTTTAGTCTTCAGCATAATGGGTACTAGTATGGACTAGGTTGTCTAGGGCTCTTTAGACTAATGGTACAGAAGAGTAGCAGTCACAACTATGTCTTCAGGCAACAGTGGGGCTATGTACATTTCCTCCCAGATTCTTTTGCAAGGCGAAGAATCAATAAATGATCATAGAACCTGTAGCTTACTAAGCAGAAGAGCTTATAAGAAATCTGTCTAAGGATGTGGTGTAGATACCGCATATTTATTTTGACTGCTTCCCTCATTAGAAAATAAATATCTTCACCTCATTCTTATGCAGATTTTAAATACCATGTTCTAAAAATGAAAGTATTATTCTTAAACTAAATTGTCGTAAACGGTTGCATTATAATATGCAACATTTTAAGTCTATTTAGTGGGCTTGTATTTCCTTTACAAATACAATCATAGAGGTAAAACTGCAAAATTTAAAGCTTTTAACTCATGCGGTTATTTGGATTCTCATGTTAATTTGTTTTTCAAAGCTATTTAAAGAATATGAAGGTAGATATTCTAGATAATGATTTTTTTTTTCTTCCTCTTCATGAAGTGTTTTGTAGTTTATTAAAATTTGACCTCGTCATAAAAACTGGAAAAGTTACTCGGAAGAGACAGTGTCTTAGAATATACAGGCAAATTTTCAGGGTTCTGTCTGTAGAAATAGACCCTTTCTCATTCTTGAAAACAAAATAAATGAATCTTTCTTTGTGGTATCGAACTGACCAGCTTGATTTTGTATTTAAAATAGAACTTAACATTGTTGAAAGACCAAAGTATTCTGGAAATAATGCTGCAAACTTTACAATTTACATATGCATGCTGTTCATTCTGTGAGCTGCTATAGTGGTGAACTTACCTGAAATGTTCAGTGGATTTATTAGACAATGTTTCAGCAAGTTAATGATTACTGTGCTATGATCCATATACTAAAAGTTTAGGCTTCTACTGAAGTCACTTTATGAACTTGAGTCATTGTCTTAGTTATATGTGCCTAACTGAGCTCCTGTTTAAAAGGGCTAAATGCCTAAGCATTTTGTAAGTTTACCTGGTTAAGTGTGTATTGAATTGGCTGTATGTAAGTGCATACTTAAATTAGGCATATACTTATGTACAGTAGTGACCAAGGATCTCAGTTAGCATGCAGGCACACCACTACAAGAGCCATTTCTGCCATTGGATTTAATTGTGCCATGTTTCTTCATCCATAGAAACCTGCATGAGTAGCTGTTTAATTGCAAGATGCTCACTGTTCAGGATAAGTTCTGGTTCATTAGTAATTTGAAAAAACTTTAATACTTTGATATTCAGAAGAACTGATACATAATTCTATGCCTAATTCGCATGCACATCTGCTGGAACTGTATATTCAAAAGCCTGTTGGTAGGCCTAAATATTAGGCAAGGTGCACAAAGTGCCTGATACTTTTGAGCAGTCAGGCAAATTAGGTACACCTCATTGCATGCCTGACTTCAAGATGAGATCTGTTAAGAGTGCTGAACATTGTGATGGTGGCTTAAATTCATGCATGTTTTTTAAAAAAGCCCTGGAAGTCATTATTGCACATTTTACTACTAAGTGCTAATAATTTTCCGATTTTTCTCCCTTAGATAGCAAAATCAAATGATTTCTTACATGTTAAGGAGCAAAGTGTCTCAAACATTAACATAAATAAAAATAAATGTAAATAGGAAGCATGGAAAAAAATGGGTACTGTTACTTTATCTTTTCTGTTCCATTCATGCTACTTATAAATTAAGTTTCATTTAGATTTGTTTTGTCATTTGGTCATATCCAGCTGTAACCCAGACTTTCCTGCAGATCTGTAGAGCAGGTTTGCAGCACTTGTTTCTTGTCATTTTTTAAAGTAGTATGTTTTCTGTGGTGTCAGTTAGAATTCATATCGCTAAACCTGCATGGTGTTTTGAAACCTACTTCAGTTTTTCCTTTTTGATAAGAATATATATCAGTCTTCAGATTTTGGATTTAGATGTTCTGTAGTTAAAATGTGCAGTTTGAGTCAAATCAGAAAACCACTGGCACAGCTTTTTATATATTACTTGACTATTAAAGCAAGGTTTAAATAAGAACATTTACTTTATTAATATCCATGGGGTAATACCAATGGACTCTACCAAAGTTGGTTAGCCTGATCAATTATGATTTTCTTCAACCTCAGTAAATTTAGAGTTAACTTACCAGTTTCAGATAAACTGAAGTGACTAAAATGTGAGAGTACAAATCTAAGTTTTTTCTACTCTTCCTTCCTCTACCTTCAACTTCACTTGTAGTATGTATTCTGTGCAGTCACAGTAGTTCAGTAGTTTATTATTTTATGTTTTATTTATTTTTACATTCTAATTAGGTAGCACCAGAGGAATAAAGAAAAGCACAAATTTCAATCAGCACATACTTTGGGGTTTTTTTCTTTCTTTTTTCTTTGTTTTATTTTCTTTTTTTCTCTTTTCTTTGTTTTTTTTTCTTTTTTTTTCTCTTTTTTTTCTTTTTTTTTTTTTTTTTTTTTTTTTTTTTTTTTTTTTTTTTCTTTCTTTTACTGATTTGGTTATTTGCCATTTCTGGGGATTAAACTTTAAAAAATGTTCTTCTTTTCTGTATCTGATGTTCTGTGTGCTATTAGTGATGCAGCCAACACGAACGGTTGTCATGTGTAAAACAACTTTCGATCACCGCGAAAACACCGCCCTGGGAAAGCGTCCATGCTTGATATCGTTTGGTTCATGAACGTTAAGTTTCCAGTACAGGTGACCCATAGCTCAAAGTGTTAAATAATTATATACATTATTCAGTTTTTAAAATAATAATCCATTAATGAGATTGTTAGTCTTTGAAGTTTTGCTCACTTTTGTTTTTCCTAATAGAGCAGGGTAAAAGGAAAAACTTAAGTTATTTTTTTCTTTGTAAGGATCTGGTAGATAGATTCATTGTTATTTATTACATTTTTAAATGCAAGGGTAATTGTAAAATCATAGAAAGAGTAACATCTGGCTAGTGTTCCAACTCTGTGTAATGCTTTCATTTGCTTCTTCAGGTAAAATCCCAGATGAAGCCAAAGCCCTCTCTCTATTGGCGCCTGCTCCTACTATGACAAGTCTGATGCCTGGTGCAGGATTGCTTCCTATACCTACACCAACCCCCTTGACTACAGTAAGTTCAATGTTTATCATTTGTAGTTTTCTCTGTTCTCTGTAGCATTTTTTGTGTACAGGATCAAGGGCTACCTGATCCATGGATGTTGCAGTGAGGGTTTAGCTGTGGTAACTCCTGAGGACTGAGGATCATAAGATATCCATGTGCTACCTTTCCAGGGTTTTTCTTTTGGATTACTATTTTCCAAAATAGTGGGTAAATACTGGTTTTGGTTCTTGTTCTTTTTTAATTGCCATCCTGCCCTGTAGGACCATTAATTTGATCCAATTAATTTGATTTGTTATTCACTAACAAAAAAATTATTAAAGTTACATTAACAGCAGTTCTTCAGAATATTAAAAACTGCAGTAGACACTTTTACTTGATATCTCTGTGACAAGATTTTTGACTGTTAGACTGTCTAACAATGTTTTCACTGTGAAAAGTAGAGGAGCTTGGTTCTGCTGTTTTTCCTTTTGACCCTCTGTAAGCCTTTCTTGGCATCAGCAGGTTGCTGTAATTTATTGAAGAAAAAATTAAGGTTAAAATAGAGTAGATTTTTCCTTTGCTACATAAAAAAGGTTCCGATGGCTTGTTACAAATTCTCCATACTTTTTAGAAATTTCATTTCCTCAAAAGGCAGTTGCTATTTGGGTAGAGAAAATTCAAACCAGGAACTCAATGGACCAGTTTTCGTAGTGATTTTTAAGTGACTTTTTATAACATTTCACAGGAGAGTTTTCCAGTTCCAAACATGAAAAGCTGTATTTTTCTCTAGGTATGAGTGGAAGAACTTAGACAGAATATTCTTTGCATTTCAACTGTAATTAATCTTGTCTTGGGTGATTCATTTGTCCAAAAGACACTTTGGTCATTTTCATGACCCTGAGTGCTGGAACTTCCCTTATTTCCTTGCTGGGCAAGATCTCAGCCATTCTTCATCTCATCCAAATACTTGTTTCAAAAAATTAATACTACTAGCAGTGTCTGAAAGAATCCTACTGCATGTAATTGACTCTAAGCATTAGAACCTGTGTATTTTGTGATTAATACATATTCCTGTCCAGATCTCTTTCATGTTAACTGATAACCCACAGATTACCTTAAATAAGGAAGCTTACTTCTTGGTAGAGTTTTCTGCTTTAGAAAAACCTGCTGTGCTGTGACCTTAAAGTGTATTGCTTATGTTCATTAGATCTGTTTTTGCAGAAATGCATCCAGGCAAACAAGCATTAAGAAATGGAATATCTTTCACGAGTGCTTGGTTGCAAAGTGAATGCTGTGCTTGTGTTTTCCAGCTTGGTGTTTCACTTGGTACTTTAGGGGCTATACCAGCAGCAGCATTGGATCCTAACATTACAGCACTGGGAGAAATACCACAACCACCAATTATGGGAAATGTGGATCCATCCAAAATTGATGAAATCAGGAGAACAGTCTATGTTGGAAACTTGAATTCCCAGGTACCTTTTTTTTTTGTTTCTGCGTTGTGGAAATACTAACAGAAGGTGTGAAAATGTTATCTCTGAATTCTAATCTTACATGTTTAAAGAGTTTCCATTAGTTAATGACAGCATGAATTTAAACATAACCCCCTAATTTTTATTTTTATTTTAATTATTCTTGATGTTTGAATTTTGGAGGTTCACATGCTAGTCAGATTAGATCAGGCTTTGTCAGAATACCAGAGAATCCACTGTAGGTCAGTTAAAGAAACCTACTTCTAATTGTGTGTGTTGATTAAATGTACAGTTTGGTTGTGTTAGATAAGCAATCCTCAGGAGTCATGAGATCATGGTAGCTGTCCACAGTACAATGCAGTTGCTTAGGTACAGTAAGATGGATTAATGTGTCCTACTGGAAGCTGCAAAATTAGCATAAATATCTTTCGGTCAGCAGCTTGGTTTTTCAAGAGGTGGTCTGATTAATTGAAAAATACTTGCTTTTGACTGATAGCAATATAAGTATTACATTTTGGGGTTTTTGACTTCTGGAGCAGCTACTGAGCGTGAAAGTACTATTGATTGTGATAAAATGAAACAAACTGGAAGCTAGAAGAAAACCACATAAATCTAAGTCCTTTAATATTGTTTGGATTTTTTGTTTTAGTTGATAAAAAGTTATAATTAGTAGCTTGGAAACAGGTATGAGGAAATTTCTTATCAGTTATTTCAGGTTAGTTGCCTGAAAAGTGCAAAATCCCATGAAAATTTCTTTCATTTTTTTTTACCTAGGTTAAGGACTAAGTGCTTGTGGCTGCACTATTTAAAATTGTAGAATATTCTTTAGATTAATGGAACTTAATGTAACATTCTCAAATTCATGTCACCTTTCTAATAATGATGACATATCGTTCCAAAAATCTGTAGCTTTTAGACTACCCAATATATTAGGTAAGTGTTTTTCATTGTACAGTTTACTTCAGCTGAGCTCTTCAACTCTTTCTAGACTACAACAGCAGATCAGCTGCTTGAATTCTTTAAGCAAGTTGGAGAAGTCAAGTTTGTGCGAATGGCAGGTGATGAGACGCAACCAACACGATTTGCTTTTGTGGAATTTGCAGACCAAAATTCTGTACCTCGAGCTCTTGCCTTTAATGGAGTTATGTTTGGAGACCGGCCACTGAAGTAAGAAATTAATTATTTACATGGCTGTTGAATGAGAGGTTTCTTTGTATCATTGTACACGAATTTATGAGTTATATGAGCAAAATGCTTTGACTAATATTTTTTTCATTATGAGGACCTGTTGTTAACAAACCAAAGCATTTTTATTAACTGAAATTTCACAGTTTGGTATACATTTCTCTCAATAGAATATGTATAGCTTGAGTAAAATACATTCATATTAATCTCAAGGTAGTGTAAGCTATACTAGTGAAAAAAATCTTTGAAGTTCATGGTACTAATTAAGTTTTCAGTATGATGTGAATGTAGTTAGTAAGTGTTATTGTGGACTTTTGATCTGAAATAGAGAAGTAACTTCCTAGACTTCTACTAAAAATATTTTAACACAAGAATACTGTGTTGCCTTTCTTTAAAAGTGGTAAGATTTCGAAGTATTAGAAGATACTTTGGAAACTTGGAACAGATGAGTGTTACAAATCTGTAGTTTTGCTGAACTTTTAAGTTTTCAATTGTACACTAAGTTGAGATGTTTTCCTTTCTTGTTTTTCATTTCCCCTGTTCAAATGTTTAAGAGTGAAAGTTTATTATTTTTCTTTAATTTAGAATAAATCACTCCAATAATGCAATAGTGAAGCCTCCTGAAATGACACCACAAGCTGCTGCCAAGGAGCTAGAAGAAGTGATGAAGAGAGTAAGGGAAGCCCAGTCTTTTATATCTGCTGCTATTGAGCCAGGTAGGTATATTGTGTTTATTACTGAACAGGCATGTGTTTACCTTGGTACACATTTCTAAGAGCATTTTCAGATGCAAGACAAAGATATCCAGAGGAATTCAGTACATGTTGGGTGAAAAAACCAAAAATAATCAATATTCTGTTCATGAATCTAAGCAGTGAAATGAAGCTTTTTATTTCATTTCAGATACATGTTCACTGAATGTTTTCAAACATGCAAATTTAATACTAAATCAATACTTAACGATTGCACTTTTTAAATTAAAAGCACTTGAAAACGTTTAAAAGAAAATGCTTTCTTATTTTTGTTGTCCTTTGGCACCAGTTAATGCCATAGTTTCACAATCAGAGTGAGCTAGCATGGTTCTGAGAGCAGTAATATTATGCTCTCCTTTATCTGCAGCAGGTTAATTTGGTTACTTTTTCATGGTGGCTCAAGCCTCTATGCATCCTCAAAGCAAATGGGATCAGAGAATGAATCTGGGATAAATATTAATATATTTTAAAGGACTTGTTTTCATCCAGATTGTTTCCCTGTTCCCTGTTAACACTGAGATGCCAACTCAAGGAGGAAAGTGGTGTTGTGTTGAGAGGTTAGACAGGCATTCCAGTGGTGATTTATGCTGGCTTAAACTGATTGCAGAACCACGGCGTAAAAAAAATCTCAACTTAGTAAACTTCCTACTTCTTTTCATCAGCAACTTTTTGCCATTCTTCTTACTAACAAGCCCAGATATTGCCTTGTGTTGGTTAGATAGTATGGAGTCTTGAGGGTTTTATGGGGGACGCTATTTTCTGCTGTGTTTTTCGGTTAGAAGTAAAATAACTCTAGCACTTCATCACTATTAACTAACAGAATAACAATTAGACTCTGAACCATGATGAGCTCACTGTTAATGTTTCTACTGACTTTCTGGCCTTTGTCAGACTTTTCCGCCTGTTCTGTTCATTCTTTCCTCCTACAAAACAGTGAGGAATAAAACTTCAGAATTTGTACAGTATTTGAATTATCTAAAAATACAGACAGTAATACTTATTTATATTTTATGCTTGTTTTCAAAATTATGCCTTCTAAATTTACTCTCTTTTTCTCAAGTTACTAAAAAAAAAACAACAACCAAGGTTATTATATTAAATAATAGACAAAAAAAAGGACGTGTTATGATCTTGTGCATTGTGGCAGCAACATAAATCCCATTCATATTAGAGCTAGCTGTTTATAATTATCTGGTTTATGTGTACTGCTGCAGGATGGCTGCACTCAACGAGTATATGCAATGACTTTCTTGGATGTTTCTGAAGGATATTTGCAAAGAAGGAAGATGTGCAGAGAGTAGGCCCCTTGCAATATATGTGGTACATTCCACTTGTGCCAGATTGTTAACTGGGATCTTTAAATGTTCTGAGCTTACACTGCAAAGTGGTTTTTTCCTCTCAGAGTCTGGAAAGAGCAGTGAAAGAAAAGGCGGTCGATCTCGTTCCCATTCTCGTTCAGAATCCAGGTCTAGCTCAAAATCCCGATCTAGGAGGAAAAGATCACACTCAAAACACAGGTATGCTTTTTGTTTCAGACTAAGATCATACTGAGATTTTTTGCATGGTACTTGTTACTGATATTTTTTAGTTATCAACAAGTATTCCTGTAGAGATTACTAAATTGCACCCAGCAGATGAGTGTAATCAGAAGTTTTGTCTCCAAATAGATACTCTTCTCTTTTTAATCCAAAATGTTTTTAGGATTACTTTCAGTTAAAACATACTACAAGGCACTTCCCGTGCCATGTAAAATAATAAGTTCTCTGGGTTTTTGGTACATTTTATGTTTTGCACATTAGGCAGCGTAGCCAAATAAAATGTTGTGACCTGTATTTTAAAGAGAAACCTGCATTTTGTGGATGTTGCATATAATTTACTGGTAACACCCTGAGCAGATAGGCTGGCTGGTTTTTGGTATAGAATTCCTATTGTCCTCAAATTCTAAAAATTGAATTAATAAATGCAGTGTTTTTATTACTGTCCTGTAAATGTGAAGCTAAGTTTTTAAAAAGCATAGAGAAAAGGCTTCAGGAGCAGTTTCTTATTTTTCAGGTTTTGTTTGCTTAGCTAAATTTGTTCAGTTCTGAAACAGAGAATTATTAGATCATTAAGTATAACCATTAAGATTTTTTTCTGAGAATGAAATAGCCTTGTTCTGTGATAATTATAAAGGTTTCAAAATGTTCCAGATTCTTTCAATGTTAGGAGTATATACTGAAAGCCTAGGTAAATCAATCTAAAGATACTTGGCTATGTTAAGGGAAAAAAAATACCCAACATTTGGAATGTTATTTGATTGCTTATGCTTACAAAAGGTGAGTGTTGTCCATATTGCAGCAACAGCTGTAATGCATCCTTTCATTCATGTCTTTAAATAAGTCTACTAGGATATTCTTAAATACAGAAAATCGGGTGAAGAGGGAGTTATCATCAGTTACACTAATAAATATGGTACAAGTTCAGGCTTCAATTTCGCAATAGCAGGAAACCGCAGCATGTGTTTTCTAATGACTTCAAAATGTTAAGTGCCTTTTTAATGCAAGAAGGACCATTTGGTCACTTCTTTATTGGTTGCTTTTCTGCTATATCCCTAATTCAAGGCATTACTCAAAAACAAACTGGTTTTTGTATAACAATTCAGTAATTTCAGTATTACCTTGTTTTGTCACAAATCAAGTGGAATTTTAGAAGATAAGCACATTTTTTTTAAATGTGGAAAACGTATTCTTTAAATAAATGTTTTAGTTATTACGATTTATCACGTTTTGTCAAATTTTTTAATATTGCTACTGTCAGTTTTGAGAACATGCTGAAAAAAAGCCAGTCTGATCTGGTGAGGAATCTTCATCCATAAAAATTATCTATCCTTACTGCTTTCCTGTTTTACTGTTTTATATAATATCATTTTAATCTCTGGGACATAAAATTTATTGGAGATTGTGTGCTTTAATTCTGTTATAATGAACTGGCCTTGCAGTTGGTTTGTATTTCTCTGCTGGTAAAAACAAAGCTGTGGGTAAAAAATGGCTTCCCCTCCTCTTGGTATATATCACTGATGCCATTTGGGACTACTTAATTTTGTCTGGTGTCTGTTTTTAAGGGAATAAAAAGTGATTATATTTATTGAAGGGCCTTCAGGTACATTTAGGGCAGACAAAACCCCCCCAGGAGCTACACCCAAAATGGACGATGGGTCATAGGTTTTCACACTTTTTAAAGTTTAGTCCATTTGCATTTTGGAGTTTAATCTTCTAATTTCAGCTTCAGGTAATAAAGTCATTTACCCCAAGTTTGCTCTCCCCTCAACTCACTTTTCTTTACATTTCTCGGAGCCTGAAAAGGTAAGGTGTTCCCAGGCCTAGAGAGGAATTGTTATGTATGACCAAAGTGGGAGAAGAGTAGCTAACATTCTGTATGGAGTAAATACACTAAAGAATTGCAAGACTGCAAGTGTATGAAAAATAAAAAATCTAAAATCCTCAGGCATCATTACACTGTGTGTCTTGAGCTGTGGAAGGTAGGTGCAACTGTTACTTTTTGTACCTCGCAGTTCTTCAGGTTTTATTGAGTAATAAAGGTGATCTGTATTTCTATCTATGGTAAGTTAAACTTCGTGGTACCTTGTGAAGCCAAGTATCCAATGATGTGGTTTTTTGAAACTTAATGTGAAAACTCAGCTTTTTATTTTGCTTCCCTGGGGAAAAGGGTCTTCCAAAGGCAGTATTTTGGAAAAAAAATTAAAAGTGTTCTTTATCAAATCTGCATAAAACTCTTTTTAATTTTTAAATCAGAGTATCTGCACTTTAATTGCAACTGATATCTATGCTAAGAGATCCTTTTACATGGAAAAAAAAAAAGCTTGACTAAAAGCTGCATCACATATCATCGGGATTTTTTATGAATTTAAATTACAAGGATGGAGAACAGAGCAAAATGAGATAGTTGCAGTCAAAGTCATCCTTCTTTGATGACTAACACTTCAGTAAATGACTAGGCCTGGAAATGAAATAAAATGTAACCAATTATTATTGATAGAAATTCTCAGAGATTTTATGCAGTGTTACTTCGTAAGAAAAACTGTTGTAAATTATATTAACTTGTGTTTTCCAGATTCATGGAGATTATTAGGAAACACGGGTATAACTTAAATGGTTTCAAAGTAGAGTATGTACACCTAGTGAAGCATAAAGTATCCATATTTGCAAAAACGTTTGCAGACACGATGTTACTAAGGTGTCATATAATACTATGTGGTGATACAAAACATGTATACTGTCATTTTGTTCGTTGACTTCATTTGTATGAAGTTTCAATATTAAAGTACTTTTCTTCTGGCATTCTTCATTTAGAAGTAGATCTGGCAACAGGTCTCTCTCAAGACACAAGGACAGACGTAGATCCCGAAGTCCCCTGAAAAAACGATCTAGATCTACAGAAAGACGGAAATCAAGAAGTCGCTCTCGTTCTCGGTGAGTTGTGTTCCACTAAATGGTACTGTTAGTTCACAACACAGGTTTTGAAAAAAAAAAATTAACAAACCTTTTAGGTGACCCCAAAGGGTGAAGTCTCATCCGTGGGACAAAAGGATAGAAAGTAAATTATAATACTGAGTATAGCGGTCTTGGCTAGGATACAGTTAATTTTCTTTCTTGTAGCCTTATAATTCTTTCTATAATTCTATAATTCTTTCTTGTGCCTCCAGGGATTAAATGATCACTTTGAGGCACTTGAACTTTGATACTCTCATTTACATTTGTACTAACATCTAAAAAGAGCTACTGAAAAGAGTACTTTTGTCAGGCTACAATCAATAATTAAGGAATATCCTGTGTACCTTGTGAACCCAGAAAAACATAGATGCTTGTTTGATGTGTATCTGTGGAGAAGGTTGTGCTCAGACTGACCTTGATTCTGTATTGTGAGAACATGTATAGAGTTCTTGTGAATGACCTTTTATTTTCATCTTTGACTTTTCTCATATGTCAGATAGCAGGAACAAATGCATGTTGGTTGTATGGCATATATGTATGTCAGGATGTAATATGTGTGTATTTTATCTAGTTTATTAGTTTTTATGTCTGATCATCTAATTACTAAACTGTGAAATTTTAACAAGATCATAGCATAATTTTTTGAGAGGTGAAGTAGTGAATAAGTTCAAACCAAAAGTGCCTGTGAAAATAGCTTCTTGAATGCAAGTCTTGGTATGTTCTTAGTTTAATTTCTGTAATTCCCTTGATTTATTTAAAGAGAGATTTGTGCTTAGGTTGTGCAGCTGCTTCTTGTTCTATTAGATAAGTTTTGTGGGAAAGAGAGCTGCAGATCCGTGGACCTATGTGGAAACAAAACTAGGCTGTGTAGGTTTTATTGGTGGATCCTTTTGATTCTCTGTTTCTGTTCTCTGGAGCTTCTTGAGACATCTGCTTGCTGGAAGGGGAAAGTCCAGTGAAATCTCTGTGATAAATTAACTAGAAGACATTTCTTGGGAGGCTGTAAGGCTGGTTATTGTGGGGAATGTGTGCTATTTCGTCTTTATGATGTTACATTCCATTTCTGAGACTCCTAACAAGTACTTGACAGAACCTGATGGGAATCAAAGTTGTCAGGTCATAAAGCATACAACAGTCTGCTGTTTATTTGCAGTTGAGAAGAAGATACAGCCAAACACTTCTTCAGTTTGAGGAAAGTTTGAGTGCTTAGGACCTTTCATGTGAGAAGGAGTCTCTTTTAGAATCTGTAAAAATCTAGAATAGATACCAATACCAGGTAACTTCTGTCAGTCGGGTTCTTCTTGACACAATAAAATCTGCTAATCAATTTGTCCTCTACTTCTTTCTCCTGTTTCTGTCTCTGAACAATTGTTCTTTCATTATGTGTCTCTATACTAAAGAGGAAAGATGGAATTTCGCATTTTCAAGTAGTCCTATACTAAAATGAAATCTTCCAACCAATGGTTAGCTGATTAGTTTTTGTTTGACTTGATGACTTGAAATCAGATGGAATTTTCCTCGTTGTTCTTTTTATGAACATGTATACTTCCTGTCCCAAAGAAGCTGTTTTCCTTCCTTCTGTTTTTAGAGTGCTACTGTTTTACTGTAGCATTTATGTTAGCATTTTTCAGTAATTTTCAAATTCGTAATGACATTATGGATGGTTGAATTGTCTTGATTGAATTTTGATCTTATATTTGTCTTTTAAGGGAATCTGGTGACATTTTGCCCATGTTTTCTTTTTATTAGTATGTATTAAGTTTTGTTGGACTTCCAAGAAGTTCAAGGATATCTGTGTGAGAGAAAACTGTAGAATATAAAGTCTTCGGTCAGTCAGCTGTCATTATTCATCTCACAGTGATTAATCTGAAGGTGATTTTATGTGGATACATTCTTAGTAAAGAGTGGATTTACAGGTTGTAGTGTTTGTCTCACTCCTGGCAAAATATAGAAAACATATATGTATAATTGTGTAACTGTGAGGTGAAGAGACACATTCTCTTCAAACATAGTAGCATCACTTCAGAGATAGTGGTTAGATTTGGTTTTGGCCTCACCTTCTCCATTTTGGTTTCCAAATTTTTCCTAGATGTATATGGCTGTGTATTTCCTACCTATATATAGGTTTCTCTTATTGTGAACAGGGGTGAAAAATTAAAATACTGAAGAATTACTATTTTCTAATATAGACACACATTTTATCTGATGTATACTAAAAAGTTAGTTGTAATTTTAATTGGAAAGTTCAAAGATGAATTAATGGGTTTGTGTTTGGCTTTTCACAGGGACAAGAAAAGAGACAAGGAAAAGATCAAGGAAAAAGAAAAGGCCAAAGAAAAAGACAGAGACCGAGACAAGGAGAAGGATAGGGATCGAGACAAAGACAGGGAGAGAGAGCGAGATAAAGAGCGAAATAGGGAAAAGGACAAAGAGAGAGATAAAGAGCGAAGCAAAGATAGAGAGAGAGCCCGAGACAAAGACAGGGACAAGGATAAAGATAGGGACCGGGAAAAGGAAAAAGATAAAGACAAGGAAAAAGACAAGGAAGAGGTAGATCAGAACAAAGAAAAAGAAGATGCTGAGAAAGAAGGAGAGAAGGACAGAGAGAAGATTAAGGACAAGGAGGGAGATAAAGACAAAGGAGGGGAAAAAGAAAAGGACAGAGACAAAGAGAAGGAAAAAGATGGGGATAAGGAGAAGGAGCGAGAAAAAGAGAGAGATGATAAAAAGAAGAAAGATAAGAGATCCAGAACACCCCCAAGAAGCTATAGCTCTTCAAGAAGATCTCGTAGCTCCAGCAGGTTTGTTTAGAATTTTTCATGCTTGTTTTTTTTTTTGACTTGTCAGATCAGTGAGGCACCATCCTAAATTTTATGTATTGGTATCACTATGTCTCTTACTAAGTCATTTTGTATTATTTCTCTTTTGTTAAATCTGTAGATTTTTCTTTAAAGTAATTCCTTTTATAAAAAGCTCGATATGATGCCTTATAGAACAGAGTTTCTTGTTGGGCTGGTGGTGCTTGGCTTTCACATAACCATATTATATAAGCCTTGAGGACAGTAATCAGATGATTCTTGTGCCATTTCTGTATGTTACAGACAGACAAAAGTTCTGACCAACATCACATGCATCATCTTTGCTCTGATGAAAGTTTGAGTCACTGTTACATAATTCTTTTATTACTTACATACTTCAGCATTTTGGTCTGTAGATCTTGCAAACAATTGTTTGCCAATATTTGCCTGTCTTTGGCTGGACAGCTGAACTGCAGGAAGCAGGCATGTTGCTTAGCTGGCTGTCCTTTCACAAAGTGAATGTATCTCAGTTGGATGACATGGACACGTTGTTTATCTGACTAGATGGCCAGGTGTAAGTTAAAAGTAACATTCCTTAACGGCTGCAAACAGTAAGCAGGAACACAATAAAGTTAATGTAGCTGTTGGTTTTGGCTCTGAGGGGAGCTTAACTGGCAGGAAGTCTGGATAAATTCATTACAGCAGAAAGAAGCTGGGAGATTATAATCAATCTCTGTAAGCAAACTCAGGCATATTCTAAAAGCATTGCAGCTAAGTTAAATTTAGAAGCATGGGTGGATAAGGTCCCTTCTGTTACATTAGGAATTAGGGAGTTCAGTAGTATTGTATCAGATTTAAGTAACAGATTTTATCTGTGACCTTGAGATAACGAAATGCTGAATGAATTGGACAAGTTACGCTTATTGTAATAATATTACTAGACAAAAGCAGAATTTCTCTAGTGCTCAAAATTCATCAGTACAGGGTTTGTAGAATGCAAGGGTGTAATGGTTCCTGAACATTGTGTTCTGAGGTTTATGGGCAAAACACTGTTTCTTCCTTAAGCATATGCAGCTTTCTATTTAAATGAGTGAAAGACCCATATAAAGATACTTCTATCAGCTTTGAAACCATATTTTTCTGTCCATGGGCTTCAGAGTGGTGAACTGGATAATTGCAGAAAAATAAGGGTTTCACAATTAGCTTATATAGGAACCTTGGTAGAAAACCAGGTTTCTAGTGCCAAATAGTAAGTGTAGTTAGCTGGGTGTTACCAAAACCTGATACTCTAGTTTGCAATAATATATTGATATATGGGAATATATGGGAAGGCTCCAATGTCATGTACTTGAGCAAAGAATTCTTGTGAAAATTAGTGCATTTCTTCTAGTGCAAAGCACAAAACTGTACTTTGGTATGATAAAGATATTGTTAAACACAGGCGGTGTTCTTTTGAAGCTGGAAGTTGAGAAAATACACTTTTTGTAACAGATTAACGATTTTTTCTTCAGATATAACTATCCTTAGAGCGTCAGTGCAAAGGCCAATACTGGTGAATGTCATTCTCAGGGACTTAGTGGGACAGGGTGCATTCTCTGTAGCTTTGCAAACAACAGAGAACTAGCTGGAGGTTGGCTGATCTGGCATTTAGAGAAACCTCAGCAGATGGGAGAAATGGACTGATAGTCATCTCTTGGAGTTGAACAAAGAGAAAGGACAAGTCCTACACCTGGGCAGGAATAACATTGAGACTCACTGGCTGGAAGGCTGGCTGGCAGGTTCTTGCTCTCCTCCATCCAAAAATCTAACTGGATATGGCCCTGAATAATTACTCTGATTGACCCTTTTGTGAGGTGAAGAAGGGATAGGTTGGACTAAGTCATCTTCAGATGGTTCTTCCAACTTCAGTTACCAGAGTAACCTCAGTAACTCTGAAAAGTAATTCTGAGTAGATTGGGTTACATTAGGGGTCTCTCTTTGGTGATGGACATTGCACAGTTGAAACGGTTGCAGACCTTTCTGGTGAAGATTATTCAACAGGTAGGCATTTCAGTTGCCTGAAATTTCAGTACAGCAGTTGACTGCTGATCATGTAATATGTAAATGTAAAATATGGTGCAAATAGTCATCTTTGTGGAGAAGAGGGGAAGGTGGAATAGGACATACAAGACCTTCTAAGAACTAGAAGGCAGCTGACCTTGCTTTGCTGACAGACTGTTTGCAAGTACTGGAATTAAGATTTGTGATTCCTAGCTGAAAGGAGACAGACCAGGGGAAGAGAGATCAGTTGGAAAAGGAGCTATCTTACAGGCTAGCAGAGCCAATAGCATCAGATGACATGCAGAATGTTATTTCCTTGTATAATTAAGAGACATAGGATCCCTATCAAAGTATTCAGAACTTGTTTTTCTTAAATTTCACTGTGTTAGTGTTGTGTAAGAGATTCAATTAAATGGATGCACAAAAATCTTAGGTATAAATGTAATAGAGATGAGAACAAATGTAGTGAGACACTGTTATAATTCTTCAACTTGAAATAAGAAAAGCGGAAACTGAAGATAAAATTTCATGAATAGGCAGTTTCAAGTTTGAACACAATTGCTGAAGCGCTTGGTTTGTATGCTGGAAAGCAAAACTAACTGGGAATGTAGTTAGTGTAGCTGAATTGACAGGACTGAGAGAGAATAATCAATTTCCAGTATCCTCAATTAAATAAAGGTGATGATTAGTGTGGAGATGTTAAAAATAAAATGCATGTTGACTAGTGAATGGCTGATTAGTGACTGTGTTATTTACTTAATGATTTTGAGGCCGTTTTATATTTTTGTTTATCAAAGATAAATCAAAAGCTTGCTGAACAAAGTACTTCAGAAATCTTATTCTGTGCAGCTTCAGGAGGTCACTGTCTTGGTTTTGATTGAAAGAGAATTAAAATTTCTTTCTGACTAGCAGCTGGTACGGTGCTGGAGTTTTCCTTTTCATCCTGCTTGTTCTCCTTCCTTGGTGGGGTTGGGGGTATTGAGGTTGAGGAGTAAAGGGGGCAAAAGAAGGCAGGAAATGCCACTCGGGATTTAATTGTCATTTGGGGTTCAACCATGGCAGTTCTTTTTTGACTTCTCTTTTCCTCATCTGTCCTTCCTTGTTCGGTCCTTGTTAGGCTTTACAAGTCTCTGCTTTGAGAGTTGAGGAAAGAGTATATTAGTAATTGAAACAAAATAAAATAATTATAGTAATAATTGTAGTGGAAAGGACAGAGGGGAATAATGCCCAGGACAAGCAAGTCATGCACTACACAATTGCTCACCCCTCATGGACTTTTGGCCGGTTGGGTCAACTTTCCTGGCCATGCTCCCTCCCAGTGTCTTGTGTACATGCTTGCTGGCAGAGCATGGAAAACAAAAGTCCTCAATTTCAGGATAAGTAACAACTAAAACATCAGTGTATTATCAACATCATTCTCATACTGAATCTGAACACAGCACTGTTCCAGCTACTAGAAAGAAAATTATCCTGGCCAAAATCAAGACAGTCACAGTAGATGGTATTGTCCGACTATCAATCCATATAGTGATAGTGGCTATCACTTAATGTGTTCTTTTGTTACTTATCTAATAAGTATTGATTTCTTAGCTTTTCTAAATACTGAAGATAAAAACATTCACAAATTTCAGAAGCTGTTATCCATAAATAAAGCTTTTGTGCTGTGTCTAGAAGTAAGTTTTAAACTTCCCTATTTTGTCTTCAATTGGTCTTTGAATCTGCTTTTCCTGCTTTACAAAGAGTTGATAGTAAAAAACAATCGTGACAGATGGGTTCTACATTTATATTAATTGAAGTTGTACTGGCTCAGTTTTTGCTTTAATTTAATGTGTGCTTCAGTATAAATGACCAGTTATTTCATGTTTAGTGGTATTCAAGATCAGACTCCATAGTGGCAACTTTAGGAAACTCCATTTAGTTACATAAAACATACCAAGTTCTTCCATGTATTACAGAGTGATGATATTCTGTTTGCTAAGCAAGGACCACTAGAAAAACAATGGATTTTACTTATTCTGACTTTGACACTAGCTTGGGCTTCATTTTTCCCTGTTTTCCTCTAAATCAACTAATTCTAGCTCATATATTTAGTATTTAAATTTCAATCAGGTTAAACTGAAGTTGCAGTGGTCTTCAGGTTGTATATTAGTTACATTTTGAAATTCATATTGCTCAAGTTATACCTTTTGTCTTAATATGGCTCTTCATTTAACTGAACTACTTTCCTGACTGAAGAAACTTTTAACTGATACAGTATTACCAAATTCAGTGTGTTTTCATTGTTATCAAGCACAAAAGAATTAAAAAACTTTTTTTGAGAGGGCACATCCTTTTTTTCCTCCTTTGGCCTTTCCTTTCCCACTAAATATGTATACAAAGTTTTTTTTAGTTCATACAGTTCATATTTTGTTGGTAATATAGACTGTCAAATTCAGTGGATGTGTTAGATCACTGTAAGAGTTTTCTACCTCCTTTATTTTTGGGTTTTGATGATACTGAATTTCTTGGTCCTATAGAGAAAGGCGTAAAAGGAAGAGCAGAAGTCCCTCCAAATCTCCTAAAACATCAAAAACAGCAAAAAGAAAGTCTTCACGAAGTCCGTCTCCAAGAAGGTCAGTTTGATTTAAACACAGAAGTTAAAGATCAGTGAAGAAGGAAGAATTTATAGTAGATTCTCTGTTATGCTAATGATTTCCAATGATTTCAGTTGGCCAGTATACTTCAGTTTTAATTTAACTCAAAACTTAAACCAGTTTGAGCTCTGGTATTCTTCAATGACATGGTTTCAAATAAATCAGCAGTGCAAATTGCTTCAAATCAGTAAAATCCCTTCATCTGATGAAGATTAATTTTCTTTTTTCTGTGCAAACACAGTGCATAGTGGTCATATGCACTGTTTAGCTCTCTTCAGCCAAAAAAAAATCCCATTATCTCTGGGAAGAGTTTTTTTGTTAAATTTTGGGAGGTTTTTTGAAAGTCCATTCTGGGGGTTTAGTTTGCAGTCAAATGGTTTGAAGTTTATTGTAGTTGGATCAAATCCTAATTTGAATAAAAAAAATTCTGAAACAGAAACAAGAAAGAAAAGAAAAGAGAAAGAGATACAAATAATGAAAGAAGAGAAAGAGAACGCTCCACTTCGAAGAAAAAAAGTAGTAAAGAAAAAGAGGGAAAGGAGAAATCTGACAAAAGCACCACTGCTTTTAAGGTAAGTATGTGTCACCAAGTGATCAGCAGAATGAAGTGGTTGGTAGTGAAGCAATTACTGAAATTCTCTCTGCACTATTTCTTTCTTCTACTCCCTTCTTTTTCTCCTGTTCCTTACCAAAGTAGTGCTATTTAGTGTTTGCTAGTTGGGTTTAGTAGGCCAGTTTTAAATCTATATATTTGAACTTCAGTTGACCTGTAGGAGTTTGTGTGCTTAGGTTACAGAAACATCTTGTTTCTCTTATGTTGTGTTCCCTGTGTTAGGACTTGCCTGGCTCCCTACTTTTAGGAGCAGGCAGATCATTGACTAACAAGCAGTGTTCATGGGTGGCTTGAATGTCAAACTGAAAAGATTACTTTTTAAATAAACTCATGATGCAGTTCAAACTCTCCCTCATTGAATTGTTCCTGGTCTGTATATTGGATTCTATAAGAGTGAAATTGAAGAGATGTGAAATAGTGTAGGATTTTCCCCTGCAAAATGGAAGGTACTGCAATTAAAAAAGGAAACCTCTTCAATTTTTTTAATCTTAGAATTTGAATAGCAGAACATCTTTAAAGAGTAGTTTGTTGTGCTCAGAATTATTCAGCTGTTACAAAACACCTGGTTTAGATGACTGTTCAAATGAATGAGTAAGAATCTTACCCAAGACCTCCCTCAAAATGCATCAGATATCTGGCAAAAAATAAGACAGAAAAAGTTCAGTCCTGTTCTGTTTAAAAAATCTTGGTGAAATCTTGATTTCTGGAACTGTTTCTCATATGTTCTCTGGTGCCATTTGTTCTATAACTTTATATGTGACTTTATTATAGTTTAATAAAGAATATTGTTAACTATAAGAATAGTAACATGTATTGCAATAGAGTACAATAGAATGCAATAGAAAGAAATGTGTATTTCATAATACATTACTATAGATTATAATATATATAAAATATATATTACATATATCATAATATAGTAACAGTTCCTCCATACTTTATGGCATAATTTCTTGGGTGATGTGTTGTTATGAGTGCTGAACTTCAGCCAACTGAAAAAAAAGCTCATTTTAAAAAAAGGCAGGGGCAAAGAAGCTCACACCTTTGTTCTAAAATTTGCAGAGACAAGATACACATGTAAAAATTGAAACAATAAGATTACCAAGAGTTGATTGGAAGTCATAACCTATAATGCTAAGAATATTATTTTGTTTTCAAATAATTTTATCTTTGGTAGGACAAAGATAACAATAAAGAAGACCAGAATTTGGAAACTGACAAGGAAGTAGAAAATAGAGATACACAAAGGACAGATGAAGTCAAACTACAACAGAACGGGAACTGTCAACCAGATGAAGAAAACCTCTCAATTAAAATGGAAGAGGTTTAATGCAAAGAATGGACTTCTAATTCAACTAAGGAATGAAATCCAAAGCATTTTATTTCCCAGAATGAGGAAGAAAATGTCAAAGCAATCAACCTGAATGTGTTGATAGTACTAGTAGCTCCTCCAATTCTTGTGATAGCTTTGTTGTCTTCTTGCTGTAAAGCAAGAGAGCACAGACCAGTAGCTAATACCATGAAAAGGCAGATGCCATCAGAACTATTCATCTCTGAAAATCCATGCATTTCCATGATGGCTGTACTTGTAAAATGATTTATGTTAAGTTTTACTATAAGCTGTTACAAATAACTAGGAACTGAAAGATGTAAACCTGTACTTCCCCAAAAAAGCTGAAGATATGCATTGAAGGTTGTTTAAAATATTGCTTGTTGATGCCTTTTCTATTGTTTTGCCCTGTAGGTTAAAAAATCCACAAAAACTTTAATGTGTGCTGTTTGATGTGCTTGAAAATGGTGCATAAATATACACACTTTCTTTCCTTGTAAATGACAACTGTAGGGAAAGGGGGTTTAAGCATAAACACGGTTTTACTGTTCTTATGTTAAATACTCACAGATTAATGTTTTTCATTTGCTCACTGCTTGAGATTCTTAGGGTTTCTTATTTAAAATAATTTCTTACTAATACCCCTGAAATTAATATTTCTTTTAAGGTATTTGAACAGTGCATGCGCTTTTTCTGTTCCTAAAAGGAATGTTGTCATGTTGTAGATGTTAGGTTAGCTTACAGGGTTATTTTGGAGTTGTTTTGTTTTGTTGTTTTCTTTGTCCTTAGAGAAGTGAGCACATCTATATGACAATACCAGAACTTCCAGCTTTGTTTTGCAATGTACTGCAGTGTGTCTGTTCAGCTAAAAATAGTACAGGTGCCATTAAGAAAATATTTTTTTTCCTTTTTGTTAAAAAAATATGGGAGCACAAGCAGAAGCTTTAGTGCCTTCTTAAAATGTGGTATTTTCTAGAAATGTATATGTGCTGTTACACATTTTCAGCTAAATCTTACATGATCTCTCTTGCTACTTTGGCACCACCATACTGTAGACAAAAATGCAAGTGACTTGCCAGAATGGTTGTTTGATTCACTTGTTAAAATACTGAAGCTCCATTTTACTTTTATTTTTTATTCTTAGAAGAGATTTTTGAATAAGAGAAGAGATTTCATTTGGGGACCACCACTGTTACAAAGTAATAGCTGAATACAAAGTGTGCTCTGATCACCTTCATCAAAGAAAGCCCTTAAAACATTTAATATACATTTGGATGGCCTTAATTGTTACCTCTCTGTTATTTCTCTGATACCTGTTGGGGGATATAAAAGGAATGGCATGCAAAGAAATGGGGGATAAATAATTTGAGGAAGGAGGTTCTAATTTACACAGGGCTTACATAGTAGAGATTCTTTTATCATTTCTTGTGGAGAAAGCGTACAAGAAGGGAGTGATGAAACAAGTGTTTATGTCATGGCAAAACATGGCTTTTGTTTTCTGGAGTAATTTAATTGGTTACATGAGATTTCTGATAAGTTACACTTCTAAGACATAATTATACCTAAAATCGCGTAGATTATTTTTATTACTACTATTTTAATGCAATCAAATTACTTAATTGCCTTACCTCATGGGAAGTGTTATTTCTTTCAGTTAAAATAAAAAACTACATGTATTGGCTATTTGCTTTTTACTTGTTTTACTTTTCTTCTGCATAGTTAATTTTTTTCAGTGGAAGGGAAGCATATTACAGGGAATGAGAACTTTGCCCAATTGCTAAGGTAATGAAATCCAATTTGATTGTGAAGCTGCTTAATCACTCCCAATTTTTTATAAGATTTTATGTTCTTGCCACTGTGTACATTTAAGACAACAGAAAATGCTTTACCATGTAAAGTATAGAACAGCCATTTTTGTGATGTATAAGCCACATGCTGTTGGCTGGTAAACAGCTAATTCTGATAAAAGAATAAAAAAATCTGTATGCTTACAGGAAGACTGTGAAAGATTGTGTCTTGCAACAACAGCTGTCTTATTTATGATGTGTAAGTAGCATAGAGCAAAGAGATTGTTTGTATACTTGTTATCTTTGGTACCATTTCACTAATAAAATAAGTATTTTAGAGGGATGTTTCTGCTGGTACATACTTATTAAAGGAATATTTTTAGACCATCTGGTCTTATTCATAGAGCTTCTTTCATTTGAAATGTAGAAATTAGTGAAAACATACATGTATTATTTATGTTTTCATTGAAAAGCTGAATTTCTCTCTTGGGAAGAACTAGAATTCCTTCAGTGTATCTGTTTTAGCTGGTAGTTGGTTTCCTGGGTTTTGTTGCCCTGAAATAGTATAGCTCTATGACGTATCAGTTATAAAATATTTAAAGGAATGCATACACTTAGCTGAGAAACATGCATTTGGAAGTTAATAGTTATGGATGGCAGCCTTAATTTACTAGCTAGCTAATCGCATGTGTGAAGCTGTATACAGCATGTTATTATATTGTATGTTTATTATGGTTCCCTTACAAAAAGTATGTTGGGGTTTTTAGGGTTTTTGTTAAGGAAAAAGCAGCAACCAGCCACCAAATACAGATTTCCTCCCCTCCTCAAGTCATACTTTCTTGCAAATACTGTATTTTCTGGTTTTGTTTTGTAAATACTGTGTGGATCTATGAGGTAGTTAACAATCTGTCTTACAAGGTGTTTCTAAAAAGCCACTCCTGGAGAACTGTTAATGTATAAAAATGCTTATTTCTGCAGAGAGTAGCGCACTTACAAACTGCTAGCATGGCACAGTAATGAAGTTCCAGGCTGCTCCTACAGAATTGAGTGGATCATCCGCTGAATGTGTCCATCTTCCATGACAAGTCCATTGCCTTCATCCATTAGCAAGCTTGTGTGCTGAGCTACCACGTCAGACCATTTGGTTTTGCACTTTGTAAATGGGATTAACTTGGTTAGAGGTTTTGAGAAGTGTGGTTTATGGTAGCTGTACTGTTATACATGTAGTTTCATCTGAATCAGCCCTTACTTGAAAGTGTAAATTACTCAGAAGAGTTTTATATGTTGCCATTTTGCTAAGATCACATAAAGCACATAAACATAACTTTCCATTAGTGCCCATAGCTATTTTCTCAGGAGGGTTCTGGATAGCAGACAGGATTTTTCTTTGCATTCTGAAAGAAGAAGGTAGTAGAAGAGAACTGCTTGATGGATCAAGCAGGATGTCAAACTCAAAATAGAGGTGTCTGTGGCTTAAATGATTGCATCAGAGTCAATGGATTCACACAGGTATGAGGCATGGAATTTTATTTGCAAACACCAACAGTAGTATATTATGTAAAGAATTCTTAGTTTTCATATGTTGGAATTGGAATTAGGGGTTATAAAAGCACTTGCTTAGAAACTAGAAATATCTGAAAAATGCTTGGGAAATGAGTGAGATTGTGGGTTTTGCCTGTTCAGTAATCACCTGCTAATTTTTTTGATGGTAGTTTCACATAGATATGTCTGAACTAGCCTTATATTAGTGGGCTGACAGCAGCCTATACACAGCTTGGATGTTGAAATGAGCTGTGGACACTCCAGTGCCATTTACACTGGTGGAATGAAGTTAAATTTGTAGTTTGTAGTGTGCTTTGCATTGCTTGCTAGTGTTCTCTGGCCCAGTTACAAGTTGGGCAATACCTGAAATTACTTTGAAACTCTTCAGATCTGTTACATAGTAGTTTCTCTCTTTTGCCCTTAGCTTGTACTGCTATCTGTAATAGATTAGGGAAGCGCGTGATTTTTTTATTTTTTTTGTCTTGAGATAAGTAAAGCTTGCTCTGCATGTTATAAATTAGCGTATACTTATTGCCAGTCCTTATTTAGTTATTTTTCATTTATGAGTATGACCCTTGCAAACAGTAATGCCATAATGGTATGTGTGTTGTCTACTTCTAGGTCTGAAGTATCTCTGCACCGCTTTTGTAGTGAAACAAGATCAGAGTTCATGTATTGTTAGAGAAAAAAAAATCCAGACAAAATAATCTTGAATTTTATAAATGATAGTGTGATAATAGCATTATAGTGGTAAAAACAATCAGAGATGTGAATTCTGAATCATTATCTGGGGCATATGCTACTTGGTACTTTCCATTTTATAGCAATCAGATATCATCTTTGATGTTATAATTTTGAAAGTGAAAATTTGATGTAGTGGCATAAACACTGAAATCTGTAAATGGCTGAAATCATGTCAATGTGTAGACACTTAGTTCAGAGAGATGTAGTTTTCTCACTGGAGGCTGGAGTATGGAGAATTGAATACATGTAGATATCATTAGGTGTTAGTGCCTAAAGAGAATCTGAAATTTAATTTTGTTTGCTAATACATAAACAGGCGTTTTCAGCTTGTAGTTTAGCTTATTTTTATATGTTGAAAAGTGTAATTAAAATTATATTGAAAACTAAAAGCACCATACAAAAGGATTTTCTTTTAATGTAAGAGAACCACACTTTCATCTGTTTAATTTTAGATTTAAAATTTGTCATGGCATGCAGTGTTTAATTCAGGACTGCCTCATCTTTAGCTAAGTCCTACTGCAAGATATGAACATGTTAGCACAAGGGTTTCTTTTGTATTCTCTTCAATGTAATACAGCTTAATAAACTTCTCAATATGTGGATGCAGCTACTTTCCCTCTGGTTTGAGGAGATGCAGTTGTTAATACTTCAATTATGTTTTGTTCAAGTAAAGAAAACATACTACAGTTGAGAGGCTATCTACCAACTTCAGCTGAACATGTGAACTCTTACTATCTAAGAGGACAAAATTTTTTTTTTATTGTCATGACAAGTCAGTTTTAAGATTGTTGAGCATTATACAGGAGAACATGGATAGCAAAAATTAGTTTTTAGCTCTTTGTACTATTCTGGAAAGTTTCAGCTTACACTTTGTTTTTTAATTTGTTACATTTTATTATGTTCATCTAGTGCTAAATTTGATGTGAGATCATAGAATTTTTTGGTGTACAAAGTGTATTCTATACTAGTTGTTAATGAAATTATTCTTTTTCCATTGAAAAGGCTATATGCGTCTTTTTTGGCCTGAAAGGCTTATCAGCGGTAGTAAAAGCATAATTAATCTCCCTTTCATGCAGTTATTGATATCCTTAATGAGACTGCCAGTTAACTGGCTTTCTTAGAAGTTGTTGCTCTGTTCTTTCTTTAGTGCAAATATTTAGCTGCTGCACTGATGAGTAAATCATGGGCCACTTAATAATTGCTACTAGAAAAGGCACCATTTACATAACTATCAAAGGAATTACTGATTTGGCCCAGAAAGATCTAGAGAGGAATTTAACATTCACAGATTATATAGCCTATCACTGGGTCCTTTATGGTATTTTCCCAACTGATATGGGAGCTGTATCTTAATTTGTTACACATAAATCACACCCATCACAGTCTGGATTCAGGTATATCTGAGGAAAATAAGCAGCACAGCAGCAAATATACTATTTTCCTTCTCTAAGTTTGATATTTCTGTTAATAATGTAGGTATTCTAAGTTAAATTATCAGGTAACCAAATGTTTGTTATGTTGGTAGAGTATATTTTTGCATTAATGAAACAACTATGGAAATGATACACATAAAGAAATGTTAAATGCTATTACATTGTTGTTTTTTTCATAAATAAACCATGTCCCAAACTTCTGATGGTGTCATAAACTCACTTCCACTAAATTTAGATGAAATACAAGACATGACTGTACAATTCTGTCTTCTCTATTTTTTTTTTTTTGATTTTTTTTTCTTTTCTAGGCTTTATCTGCCCCAGAGTCAAGTGATTTGAAACTAAGACTGTTGTACTGATACTGACAAGAGTGTTACAGGAAAGGTGATAATGGATTAAGTAACTGAATATATCATCACTGTTTAGTTACAGAAGAGCCTTCTAAGTCCCATCTCTGAGGAGGGGATTTTCTTCTGCACAGGAAACTGCCACAGTTTCACCAGAGAGAGTGTCTCACTTTCAAACAGAAAATTAATAAATGTGACTGTGTAGAAGACTGTGTCAAAGTAGGAATCAGGAGTTCAAGCAGAGCTTCTGACACTAGCAGTACCTGTCAATTTATTGCCATGGTTATTTTCATACTAAAATTTACTTCTCAATGCCTGAGCTCAATTGCTTTGTATAGTTGGTGAAAATCTAAATAGCGATGATTAGTGCACAGAAGTTTGAGATGTGCTTCTAACAGACTAACTTGCTCACTAGTGATCTGATCTTGTGATTTTTGAGGTTGGTCATGTCTGTAATGAGACTCATGGCTGGTTTAGCTCCCACTGATTTGGTCACCACAGGTGATTTAGTTGCTACATCTGTGGTACATTTGTGAAGTGCATTTCACCGTGCTGTTCCTCTCTGTGAAAGCAGGGAAAAACAGATCTGAGAAACACATTGAGATAACTTTGCAATGGTTCAAAATTGTATTTTGTGTAAAATATAATATATAGGATATAAAAGTATATTACAGAGGAGACAAGCTAGCCTCTACATAAGGTGGTTTTGGGTACTCATGGTAATTGTACATATAAGTATGTTAATAGACCTATCCAAATTTCACTTGTATCAGTGAGGAGATAATTTCATTCACTTAAGATCCTCACAATTGTGACACGTTTGTTTAGTTATGTTTGGTTATGTTTAGTTATGGTATGAGCCTGAGGGAGCTGGAGGCTGCTTTGTAGGGCTGTTTCTCAGGTAACGTGGGACACACAGGAAGTCACTGTAACGCTGTTCTTCACTCTTCTAATTTTATATCAGAACTTGGAGTACTCTACTCTGTTCAGCCAAAGTGTGTCAATGCTGAATTAATTAACTGGAAGTGTACTTCAGAATCTTTTGATGGAAGGAAGTGTTAGACCTGCATTGCATTGCACTAAATCCATTAGAAATGGGCATTTGTGGTGCTGTGATGGCTAGGTGAAAAGTGGTAGCCAAGTATTGCATAAGTTAATTAATTCTAGTAAATCAGATTCCTTTTGATCATTTTTACCCTGGGAAATTTATAGTTGTAAGAATTGTTGTAATTCAGTAGGTGATAATAAATCCTACTACTTTTTAAAAAACTTTCTTCTGTCAGATCTGTAACTATTCCAACAGCAGCTTATAACTGCAAATGGAAAGAGTAGTATATCCCTTTTGAAGTGATCATGTTTCATGGCTTCTGTCATCTTCTCTATGTAAGATTAGCAAGTTTTGCTTTTATGCTTTTTATCAAGAGAGACAGCTAGAGATCTATCAAGACCGTAAAGGCAAGAATTATTATTTTAGAAGCTGTGTCAGCTTTCAGATCATAGTTTTCAAGAGCTACATAAAAGCAGTCAAGCTTCATTTCATATCTGTCTTGTGTTATAGAGGTGAGGAGTAACTGTCCAAGCCTGCTGGTACCACTGTTGATTCACCTTCTGACTTGTAAGCAGACCTTAGAGATATAAAATGCCTACTATTAGTGACCAACATCTCTGGATATGATTATTTATACCATGTAAACTTGCTGCTGCTTGGAAGCTGTGACTGTTTGGGTGAAGGAGGAGTTTTGGCTTTGGGGAGCAGGGTGAGTACAGTTTATAGCTCAGTCTCCACATTCCCTTTTGTATTGTGAAGGTGTGAACTTGTATATTGTGAGCTATGGATTGAGGTATCTTAAGAGACCTCAGATTGGAAGACCATATACATAAATCATGAAGAATTAATGACTGTAGAAGTTGCAGTGTTAGAGGAATTAAAGTAATTTGCAATGAGGCCTTGCTGTTGGATGCTTAGGCAGGATTCTGATTTAGTGCTTGTACAGAAACTTAGCTTTATTACTCTGAATTTATAACCCCAAGCTTTTCAGAAAGCTCACGATGTTCTTGCTTTTGTACTGTGCTGCTTTAAAAAGACACCTTTTCCAGTATGATACTTTGAATCAAACTAGAAATCCTCTTTAAAGATGGTTCTATGTATCACTTAACAAAAACTTCCAGGTCACAGTCTTGGGTTTGCTGTAGCAGTACATTATTTTTAAGGTGTTACCCTTATTGCTGAGAACACAGGCTAGCTGTGTGACCCAAGAAAGGAGGTTTGCAAGAAAACTCCAAGCCCCTGAAGGATTGCTGAGGGGATTACGGTGGAGAAACAAATAATTTTAAGCCGGAATCAGTCCTGGGATGTCAGAAAGCATGTGACAGCTGATGTAGGAAAAGCATCTTCTGGAAACTGGGCTATGCTGCCCTGCAGTATAAAACTCAGTGCAGGAGCACCCCTTCCTGAGCTATCACAGTAAGATTTCAGGTAGTGTTTGAAATACTGCATATTTAGACACTGAGTGTGCTACAGGATTTGTTGCAAGACTACTGCAAAGCACCACTATTTTTAGTACTCTATCACTGCTAATTCTGTACTCTAATTCAGTAGTAATCTGCTGAAATCCACTGAAAAGTGATGTACCTATGTACACATTTAACAGGAGATACTCCATGTACAGGTGGCAGGGCCTTTTTAGTCATATCTGAAATACGTTTGTTTTGACTTCTGTGTTATGCTCAGTTCATTATCTGGTGCCTTGGACCGACATTCGGGGACTAAGGCTGATGTATGTTGGAGGTTTGTCTTTAACACTAATTAATTGATGGAATGTAGTTTGAACTATTTCTTTTGGAGGGAGAAAGGCAAATTAGAATGCCTGACAGCAGGAAGGTGCTTTTATTTAATCTGAGTGAGGAGAAAATGAAGTAAATCAGAGCTCTGCAGTCTTTGCTGCAGTGCAGTTTATGATTGCAATGAGTTTTGCCAGTGAAGAAAAGGAAAGGGAACTGTAAAGTTGGATTCTGTAGCATGGCATTAGGCAGAGTACCATGATGCCAGTGTGCAAAACTGGGCCACCTGAGCAGCACAGCTGCTTGCATTTACAAGACATATTGGGCTGCTGGACGGATAGACAATGCAAGTGTAGGGATGTGAAGATAAATAACCAGTGTGTGTTTCATCTTTTGTTCTCTGCATCCATCCTTTTTGCCCCTTGGAGCTTTCAAATAACCAACCAATATTATTAAAAAATACTGAAATGAAAAACCCAAAAAACCCAAACCAAACAACAAACAAACCCAAAACGTAACTGTCCTTAGAAGTTGAAAAATATGTTCTTTTGTGCTTGTGAGTAGGTCTTCAGTGCTATTTCTCCGTGTCCTAGAATCAGGTCCTTTCATCAGGTCTGGAGAGCAGAAAATGAGTCACAGAGAGTATTACAAACTAAACAGGCTGACTATTTATCAGTAAAATACTTGGTGGATTGAGGACTTTAAAAAGTTCTCTGCAACGCTGCAGCTGCAAATAGACAAATATGGAAACAGAGGGGAGAAGCTCTGATGCTTAAAAAATATCAGAGTAAGAAATGTTCTTAGAGCAAATGTCTTCAAAGCAATTGTATAATGGATTTATGAGTACATACACAACCCCTTTTGGAACTGCATGCTCTTCAAGCATTCCAATGGAGGTACAGACTATATAAGGTGAATTCAAGTATGCTACCACACTTCTGCTTTTCTTACTCATTTTTGTGAAATCCAGAGGGTCTTCTGATGAAGGTGAATGAACATTGAAATAAAGTGAATAGAAGCACATGCTACTGGACTATTATAACTGGTTTTGGAGCTAGGGCTTTTCTCGACATCCACAAAATCTCTTAGTTATTAATGGAAATATTTGTATTCTTTTTCATAGTGGGATCCTTAATAGTAATGTTCATTTTCATTGAGCCACTGCATCCACTGTAAATTTTATCTTTTTCATAAATACTTTACAGCATTGGAAGAACATTCATATGACCCAGCATAACTAGTTATAATTTCAACGTGACTAAATGCTATTCCTTTTTAAACTGTAAGGTTCTGACCCGTGTTGTGTTGAAAAGTCTTTACCTAGATAAATAGCTCATCTGTGTATGTTGTGTGGGCATCGGCAATTACAGCTTCTTTGACACAGCTGTGATAATTAAGTTGCAGAAACACATGTAGCTTTCTTTCCAAAAGTGAGTAGGTAGCGCTTGAAAATAGCACACAGGAGTCACAGTGGCCAAGTTGACTGTGTAACCCACTAAACCACCAGATACTGAAAATGCAACCACAGCTGTAATGCCAAAAGGGCATTATTGTGTCTCATGGATCCTGATTCTGGTGATACCCAGTAGCTATATGCATGAAATGAATGCTAGAATGGTTATTTAATTACAGCTCAGAAGAAAGGAAATGGTTGCTGATTGCTGAGTACCTTGGCTTGAACCACTACCAGCGAAGTTTAACAGTAGCAATTAGAGAACCACAGAAAGAAGTAGGTTGAAAAAGACCTTGGAGATCAAGTCCAACCTATGACCTAACACACCTTATGAAATAAACCATGGCACTGACTGCCACATCCAGCCTTTTTCTAAACACCTTGAGGGATCTCAACTCACCACCTCCCTTGACAGCCCATTGCAGGGCCCGATTTCTTTTTCTATGAAGAATTCTTTTCTAGTTGCCTCATTATCCTCTGGCACAGCTTAGGGCTGTGTCCTTTTGTTCTGTCAGTGGTTTTCCAGGAGAAAAGACCAACCCTCACCTGGCTACAGCATCCTTTCAGACAGCTGGAAGTGATCAGGGAGTGATAAGGTCTCTCCTGAGCCTCCTTTTCTCCAGGATAAACACCCCCAGCTCCCTCAACTGCTCCTCACAGGACTTGTGCTCCAGACCCTTCACCAGCCTTGCTGCCCCTCACTGGACTTGATGGTCCAGCACCTCAACATCCTCCCTATAAACTGAGGGGCACAGAACGGGACACAGGATTTGAGGTGTGGCCTCACCAGTGCCCAGGACAGGGGGACAATCCCTGCCCTGCTCCTGCTGGCCACACTATTGCTGAGCCAGGCCAGGATGCCATTGGCCTTCTTGGCCACCTGGGCACAGCCTGGCTCATGTTCAGCTGCTGTCACCAGCACCCCCAGGTCCCTTTCTGCCTGGCAGCTGTCCAGCCACTCTGTCCCCAGCCTGTAGCACTGCAGGCGATTGCTGTGGCCAAAGTGCAGGACCTGGCACTTGGTCTTGTTAAACCTCATATTGCTGGACTCGGCCCATCTATCCAGCCTGTCCAGACCGCTCTGCAGAGCCCTTCTACCCTCCAGGTTGTTGATCACTCACACCTAACTTGGTGTCATCTGCTAATTTGCTGTGGTAGGCTCAGTCCCCTCATCCAGATCACTGGAAAAGACACTAAATAGAACTGACCCCAGCACAGAACCCTGGGGGACACTGCTAGTGACTGATCCCCAGCTGGGTGCAGCAGCATTCAGCACCACTCTCTGGGCCTGGCCCCAAATTACTGTTTGGGAAAGGCCAGAGGATACCTGTAAGAGCTTTATTGTTCTGTTATCCACTTCTGTGCTAGCAATCAATGAAAAACTGGCTGCAGCCTGTAATTTTTCATGTAAAATAGCATGTTTACTACTCTCCAGCTTGCCTAGGCCCCAGTGTCTCCAGTAAGGACCTGAACCCATTTAATCTGTTTCCCTCTCAGTGCTGGCTGTAGCTTTGCCTGTCATTCTTCAGGACTTTTCTTTGTCCTTCCTGTGTCTACCACTTCAACAAATCCAGATTACTTCCTTCATGGGTATTACTTTTTCATGGTAATAAGCCCAGTTTGCCTGAGGAAGGCTTTGTGGAAGGAAGTTAGAGCATAGGGCCTACAAGAGGTGACTGAGGGAGCTGAGGATGTTTAGCCTGGAGAGAAGGAGGCTCAGGAAAGGGATCTAATCACTCTCTACAACTGCCTGAGAGGATGCTGCAGTGAGATGAGGGTCAGTATATTCTCACAGGTAAGAAGTGACAGGATGAGAGGATATGGCCCCAAGTTGCACCAGGGGAGGTTTAGATTGAACATTTAGGAACATTTCTTCACAAGCAGAGTTGTGAAGCCTTGGAACACACTACCCAGGGAACTGATTAAGTCACCATCTGAGGAGGCACTTAAGGATCTAGTCTAGTGGTGGGCTTGGCAGTCTTAGGTGTGCTGTTGGACTCAGTCCTAAAAGTCTTTTCCAACCTCAGTGATCCTGCGTTTCTGTGAAGCACTGGAGGGGTCTCTGAGGATGGGTAATGGGAATGACCATTTCTAGCACAGCAGGTTTATTTCAGTTTTCTTGTCAAAATGGTGCTTCTGCTGTAGAATTAAATAGGTATGAGGATAAGATTATTCCCATCTCAACAACACTGGCATGGAGTGATTTTTCTTAGCAGTCTTCTATAAACAGTGCTCAGAAGTGAGTGGTGTAAGCTGTCACAGGTTTTATTACCCAGGTTGATACAAATTCCATCAGCATTGTACCAGAACACATTTAACATCATTCAGGCAGCAGACACACAGTGACACAGAGAGAGAGAAACAAGCAAACCAAGAGCCTGTGACACACAGTCAAGATTATCTTCTGTAACTAGAGGTCTTTCATGAATGCTTCATTATTTGACAATTTTTGTAGCAATAACTGCAGCTGACTTGGGTTGATAGGATGCCCCTGTGTTCTCTGCTTTCCAGACAACTCTGCTTGGGTGGAGATACTATAGTGCCATAAAAGTAGCTTTAAGGGTTGTCACAGTACCTCAGAGGTTTACATTATGGGGCAATTCTTAGATATTTGGTAGATATTATTATTCATTTGTTAACTAATACATAATAAATCTCTACAATACTATGGTTGCTGCAATCTCCTGTTCCAGAGTGAGAACTTGCTTGTTTTGTCTCTGACATAGTGTTAATTTTGAGAGCTAGCTACTGCACTGTAGTCTGACTTTAAGCACTAAATAAAAAATATAACAACAACAACAAAAAATATTAAAAAATCTTCATGTCCATACAAGAAAAAAAAACATCTACTCTGGATACCAGAAAAATACATGTGTACTAACCTAACTTTGTACTATATTAGAGACTGAGTATTACTTTCCTTTCTTTGTAAATATAGAATGCTGAAGTTCTGTAACCTTGCAGTATTATATCCCATGCTATCAATCACTATGCTGATGTGCCTCCAGGTCTACAGTTGTCTAAGCTTTTACCATGTCTAAATTCTCACTAATGCTGACAGTGGTCATCCAGAGCTATGCTGACTGTGAAAAAAAGGAAAAAAAATAATTATAAAATACTTTGTCTTTTGTGGTCCTGAGCTTTTGTATCTGCAATTTCACTTAACATAACATATATTGAAACTAAGAACACTACATAAACCACTTGAACAGTACTATTGCACATGGAATGAACTATCTTACATGTTTATCCATATAGGAAAGCTGCTGCAGTCACAATACACCAGTATATGCACACATTTTCTTAAACTGCCTGAAGATGTCAGGAAATGCAACTAGACGATTGTTGTAGGACCCTTCTAACTGAACTAAAAATCTCCACAGAAGAGCCAACCAAAAAAAAAAATAAAAAAACAAACCCAGAGAAATCTATTTTTCCCTAACCTGAAGACCTGAGCATGGTATGTATATCTCCTAATCCTGTGTCCCAGAGTAAGTACATTATTCCAACTAAACTTCCTTTTTGGCTGCATTAAACTATTTAGCAAATGTATTCTTCTATTTCTCTCCACATAAAATGTTCTTTCTTTGCTGTCAAAGGATACAACACGATGGGAGGAGTTCTTAATTAATACCTAATCTCCACACCAGGATTTTTCATGTATCTCTTATTCTCCCAAATGTACTGTTTACAGACATTGTGCAAATATTGCTTTAATGAGATCAATATTGTGAGCTTTATAACTGAAAGTAGAATACATCTATACCTTCTATTTAATATCCATGGGTGCTTCTAGTACAATTATCCTGTTCTGCTATGTGAATTTTCTTTAGCAAGCTGTCATGCAATGGATATTGCAGTGGAGTTGATAATCACCAGGTTAAAAGCCCAAGCTATGTGTTAAGATTCATTATCAAGGCTGTTTCATATACTAGAACTGCTTGCAAGCCTTTGGTTTCGTTCTACCTACTTACACATACTTTATGCATAATACGTATTGGTTTGGTAGGTGCAGAGTAAGAAAAGAGGAATTCAGTGTTTAAAGGAATGAGTAAAGCTATTGCAGGTACAAACTGCACCAGGAAAATAAGTTTCTTCGACCAGAAATGAAATAAATGCTGTAAATAAGGAGCATTGATAACTCTTATATTCTGGAAATGGACAAATTATGGCTACTTGATAAAGATTATATTTCAGGACTTCATTGTCTGGAACAGCATTTCAACACCACTATTAGATATTACAAGTAAAAATATCTCCACTCCAATAGCTCCAATAGCTTCAATAGCAGGATCATTTGCATTCTCTTAAATTCAAATCAGGCAAAGCCACCAGATTAAAGTTCAAAGAAAGAAGAAAGATATATAAAAGACTGCCCAAACTTGTGTGAATTCTATGGAGTGCTTCTCTTACCCCTTGTTTAAATTATGAGATTTAACAACCACGAGTGCACATTGCTTTGTGGAAGAGCAATGAATTTTAAGTGCTAAGAAACAAAACAGTGCATAACCCACAGTGAAATACAGGTTTGTTCCTGGCAGTCTTAAGAGATATAGAGAGATGTAGCTAAAGAGAGAGTGAATATAAATAAGGAAAATGAATAAACTAGGTTTTGTTGTGCATTCTCACTAAATCAATGAAATGGGGATATGGAATATCTGAGTTTTTGCAACCGTGGCTGTTCTATAATTCACACTGCTTAATATGGGCGGAAATATTTGTGTGCATGCCAGTCATCCTTCACCTTCTCTTTTACTGAGACATTTAAAAAATGTCCATCTGTGGATTCTCTGGTGCTTACAATACAGGTGATTGCTTTCTTTCTTTCTCCACAAAGCAATTTTAATAAACTACTCCTTCAACTTGAGACAACAAAAATAAACTGGGTCCTCTACAATAAGTGCAGATCATTAATGCCTGCAAAGTTCATGACTGAGTAACTCTTGTAAGCCAGAAAATGGTTCAGACTCCTTGCATTGTGGAGATACCTGATGGAGTTGCATAGAAAGCATATTGAGGAAGACTTTTTTCCCCCTGTATTCCAGTGGCTCCTATTCCATGCAGTCTTTGGAGGTATGGCTTGAAATATCTGTTCAGCTCCTGAAGTCTGTTTAACAGTTATTGTCATTGCAATGTGAAAACATATCTACACCTACACCTCATCACCAACTATGGATGTTTTTTTCTGAATGTGTAGGTAATTGTAGGAGGAAATAGCCTTAATTTAATGCAAGTAATGACTCCAAAACTGTTAATGAAACTTATTATCATCTTCACTTACACAGAACTATTTAGCTACAATGACTAAAGTTGTAAAGTTCTAGAATGTAAAGCATTTATGGTGTTTTATATAGATCAATAAACAAACTTTCCATTCCTAATTTGAGAGATACGCACTGATTTCTTCAGCTAGCTTTGACAAACTGGAGAGCTTCTTTGGAGTGGTAGATACTTTTGCTGGAATTTTTTTTGCTGAAGAACTCATGAGATTTGAAAATCAGAAATCTGAAACTGGTCATAGTGAGTACAGAAGCCTTGAATGACTCCTGAGTACCCTGGGAAAAAATACCAAGCAAGAGGTACTTTACTGAAAGATTTTTCATATAAGTCCCTGAAAGTTTTGCCTGTGTGAAGATGGTGGGACTTTCCACTGAATGACTGTGGTGAAATAGCTAATCTGATCTTATAATCAGTCTACTTCACCAAGGAAACTTACCATAGTGGAGATAACTATTGTCACAAGCTCACTCTCCCATATGGTCCCAGTGGCACCACTGAAGTATAACAAGATTTAGAACTTGATTCCATGGTAAGGAAAATAGTGAAGATGCTCCAGATTTAATTGGCTTGTCCCATGAAATTTGGTCCAGATGGCAAAAGTACCACCTGGCTTTGTTTAAGGTAGTCCTGGGAAGAAAACAAAACCTCATGCACAGTTTGTGCTGGCTTACTGCTTAGTTCCATTTCCAGATGAGGATGAGCAGTTCTTTCAGGCATGCTCACAGCCAGGCTCATCAGGGCTTTCTGACTAAACTCCATGCTGGCATAGTCACTCAAGAATGGTACTTCAATGGAAATGGTGTCTTCTTCACTTGTAACTGCTTCTGCAGGGATTTCTTCAGTCCTTGGGCTCATGTCTGTGTTGTTGCTGGGTTTTCCTGACTGGCAGATGTCATGCTTGCGGTCTTCTCCACCATCTGTGAGGAGGTCTAGCATCAGAGGAGCCTTTGGCTCATGCTCTATGACAAAAAGGCTGGTGGTATCGTTGTCTGACAGTGCTTGAAGCAGTGACCTTGAGGCAGGTTTCCAATAAGTCTGTGAGACAAAGCAAGGAAAAATAATAATATGCTAATTAATTTTATCTCATCTTTGGTTCTAGAAATATGAATAAGAATACTTATTTCTGTAATTTAAAGGACCATCTCCAGTCCCATAGTATTTAATCAAAATTTTTCTTGCTTTTATGTTTACTTGGGATCAAAAGTGGTGATAAAAATGTGCTGTTCTGAGAACACAGCTTTTAAAATATTTAGCAAATATATTACTATAAAAAGGCAGGAACTTGAACAGCAGCCAGACAAGATTAAGCTGTCAGCTGCTATGAACAGTTTGTTATTAAACTTCATGCGGTGTTGTGATCTGAGCATACCTGGTTAACAAGTTTTTGCAAATTTTGGATGGTTAAATGGAGAACAGTTTGTAACACCAAGTTTCCATATTGTCCACCTAGATTGTCCCGTGTTTGACCATATTTGCTGTAATATTTTTTAAATTATGGGCAGGCTGGTATAGCTATTAGATTTTTTTCCTTCCTTCTCCCCCCTGCCCCCACTTGCTCTGGAATTGTTTGCATTGTTTTTTTATTTTTGCAAGAAATAAGTTAGTGTGTTGTGTTTTTTATTTTCTTTCTTCTTACAATTTGTGATCTGACCAGGAAATGAGAATGTTGTTTTTTGAAGTCTCAGCAATACCAAATAAAATATCTCTATTTTTCTCTTGTAATGGATAAGTAGACATCACTGCATGGTTAACTTCTGCCTTGTTTTGAATAAAGATCTGTATGGTATGTACCTTCGTTATCATATTTTTTATGAAGAGCAGCCCAAATTCCAAAGCTACTGAATCTAAGATAGGTTTTATGTCTACGTGGACTTCAGTAAAGCCTGTCGTACTATTTCTCACATAATTCTCCTGGATAAACAGGCTGCTCCTGGCTTAGACAGGTGCACTGTTCACGGGGTAAAAACCTGCCTGGGTGGCCAGGCCCAGAGGGTGGTGGTGAGTGGAGTTACAGCCAGCTGATGGCTGGTCACAGGTGCTGCTCCCCACAGCTCAGTACTGTTTAGCAATCCTCACTGATGATCTCATGGGGTGCACCCTCAGTCAGTTTGCAGTGACACCAAGCTGGGTGGGAGTGCAGATCTGCAGGAGGGCAGGAAGGCTCTGCAGAGGGATCTGGACAGGCTGGATCATGGGCTGAGGCCAATGGTGTGAGGTTCAACCAGGCCCAGAGCTGGGTCCTGCCCTTGGGTCACAACAACCCCAGGCAGCTCCACAGGCTGGGGCAGAGTGGCTGGAAAGGACCTGGGGGTGCTGGTGGCAGCAGCTGAACATGAGCCAGGCTGTGCCCAGGTGGCCAAGAAGGCCAATGGCATCCTGGCCTGGCTCAGCAATGGTGTGGCCAGCAGGAGCAGGGCAGGGATTGTCCCCCTGTCCTGGGCACTGGTGAGGCCACACCTGGAGTGCTGTGTCCAGTTCTGGGCCCTGACTGCAGGAAAGACACTGAGGGGCTGGAGTGAGTCCAGAGAAGGGCAGGGGAGCTGGGGCAGGCTCTGGAGCACAAGTGCTGTGAGGAGCAGCTGAGGGAGCTGGGGGTGTTTATCCTGGAGAAAAGGAGGCTCAGGAGAGACCTTATCACTCCCTACAGCTGTCTGAAAGGAGGTTGTAGCCAGGTGAGGGTTGGACTGTTTGCCTGGGTAACAAACGACAAGATGAGAGGAAATGGCCTCAAGTTGCACCAGGAAAGGTTTAGGTTGGATATTAGGAAGCATTTCTTCTCTAAAAGGGTGGTCAGGCTGTGCAGGGATGTGATGGATTCACCATCCCTGAAAGTGTTTGGAAAACGTCTACGTGTGTCACCTGGGGACATGGATTAGTGGTGAACACAGTGGTGGTGGTTAATGGTTATGGACTTGAGATCTTTTCTAAACAGCATAGCATGATTCTGTATGAGAGAGGCAATATGTGAAGAAGGAGAAGCATTTTCGAAGAACCTTGCCTATATGTGAAGAACAGGGACTGGTTTGGGTGACTGACCGACATTTTAGTTCTCCATTGTTCATTTTCCTGGTCTCTATAAATGAGAGTGTCTGCAGTTCTGCCTGCTGCTCTGTGCCATGGGATATATCACTGACTTATATTTTGTTAAATAATCCCCTGTCTGGACAACAAGACCTCTTGCCACCTTTTGGGATTATTTTTGTGTTTTTGTCAAGAGTTGCTAAGTTGCTCAAATAAACTGCTGCACCTCAATCTTGGAACAGCTAGAAACCTAATGAATGTACAGAATATGGCAAAATTTGCTCCCTGCCTCTGTCTTGCCATGCCTGTTTGGGGAATAACTTTCTCCACAGTTCATTAATTGTTCAGAATACCAAATTACTTCTAGACAACATATGTGGTAAGCTGTTTATTGTACTTCTCTTGACATAGTGCTTCTTCTGCTTTCTCCCAAACCATTATCTGGTATCTGGTATTTCTGTGTCTGACATATTATCAACATTATATTATACTCTACCAGGCATGGTTAATACAGACTTCATTTCCTTTGGCAGTTGCATTTCCTCTGCAGGAAAAGCTAAAGGCATTTTAAATTCAAGTATTTTGCTTTCAAGCATTTTATGTCAAAATGGCACTGTGGTTCATAAAAGCTACTTGTCCTTTCTGTTGCATGCAGTCTCAGTGTATTTCACTTGCAATCCTTCATTGCAAAATGACTACCTGATGACAGCTCTGATCTCATACCTTCTTTATCTATATTTAGGTGGAATAAAGGAAGAAAACAGCAGAGGAAGTCCTGACCTGTAATACAAAAATCCATACTTGCTCTGTTGCAGGAAGCAATGCTGATGTTCAGCAAAACTTCTGATTATCAGCAGACTATCAGGGTCTTCTGAAATGTTCTTTCTGATTATTTCACTCTGTATCCCAGCTCAGGACAGTGTCTGGCTTGATACTTACTTGCTAATGCCCACAATTTGGCAAGATAGAAGTCTGCTTGTTAAAGCTCATGAGAGAAACTACTGGATTGTCAAGTGCCAAATTATGTTCAAGTCTTCCAGAAAAAGAGATTTATCAAGGAAAACAGTACTAACTCCTGCTACAAAAACACAATCATAGGTGGTCTGAGACTTAAGAGATAAACTTAGGTGCTCTAAAATGGGGACTTTGAGTATCAGATTGGATGATCTATGATTGACATAGATACCAAAACTGCAGCAGAAATCTTATTAAAAGGGGGAAGGCATAAAGGTGAAGATACAAATAAATCCACTAATCGGCAAAAGTGGATAATGTGGTCTCTAGCAGCTGCTTCTAGTACAGCTAGTAGCTGTATTTTTTCCTAACAGCTGATTTCCCTGCTTCTTTAGTGCTGAAATTTAGGTATACTTACCAAAACATATGGGAAAGATGTGGCCAAGACATGAGCATGCTGCTGAATGCTGGTGCCTGTTGGGTGCTCCTCAGACAGCTGCCAGCTGCCAGTCAGAGCCCCTGGATTGCTTAAAAGGCAAGCAGGGACTAAGGAGTCAGGAGCAGACTTCAGAAAACACCACGTTACATGGCCTCTGTCATAATATGCCTCTGGAATTAGGCCACAGTTCACTACTTTATATTCTGGATAACTTGTACTTAATAATCAGTTTGAGTTGGTTAAAACTGACTGCATATAAAAACTGAATTTCTCTCTTTAGTCTCCATCTACCCCATTCAGCTTTGATTTGCTCTTTTAAGAACCACGCCTTTAAAAATGTTCTACATTGTACTCAGAAAATGTCTGAGACCTTTATTAAATTTAAAAGTATATACAGCCTATGCCTAAATAACAACCACCCCCCATTCTATATTTTCAATATTACTCTGGCTTCCAAGCTGTTGTTATTAGACGTTTTCTACAGTGAAGTGTGAAAGAACTGGTAACTAGCATCATGATTAATCAAAAATCTCCCCTGTGTATTTTTTCATGCCATCAGAAGAGTACTTGCCATATCTTGGAGTGCACTGCTGTTTCTTGGGCTCGGTACACTGGGCCAGTGTGATATTTTCAGCCTGTAAAGAAGTATCTTACATTTAACATCAGGTTAAATGACTGAAATTTCCTATGCATCTAAATTAATTTCTGTTCATACGTAAGATATTAACATTTTTGTAACCATCAGAAACGGTGTTCTACAGAGACATTTAATCATAATGCTAATTAAAAGCAAGACCAATCTTGGTAGTCTACAGTGAAATGCTGAGTTAATGATGATTAGCATCTTTGTTTAATGACAAAGGAGCTGTGAAAGTCTGGCAATGGTGTGTCTTTCTGTACATTTAATATAATATTTCTCTACATCTAATTTGTTATTTCCACAAAACCTCCATCTTCCTCAAGGGCTTTTGGACATACAGGATGAAGTTTGTTTCAGTAAGTATTTGCTCCTGGGCTTTGATTTAGAAGTTTCCTTTCCCCTGAAAAGGAAGAGCAAGATATTTTTGCATTCAGCCCATGCACAATGGCACGGGTAGTCTGGATGAATCTCTGATCAACACAACTCCTGCTCCTTCCTGATTGTTTTGAGTTTGACGTATTCTGGGACATATTACATACAATATCTCACCTCCATAAAAAAAGCCTCAACAAAACTGTAAGAGAGACTGAGAGTTTAGGTAGTCTATCACTCTGCTTTAGTGTTGGCTTCAGTATTTTCCAGTTTTGAAATTAAATCTAGACTTCATTAGTTTTATGGTAGTTTGCCTCTTTTTAGGCTGTGTTTGGAGGTAAGGTCTGTGGCTGTAATACTACTGGATCTGAGTCCTTTCTTACAAATCAAGAAGGGAATTGAGATGAGGGCATCACTGGGACCCTTCATCTCAGTTCAAAGTGTTCAAAATTAAAACAAATGTGAAAATTTAAGCGCTATTTTGTAGTGCTATACAGAGCTCCCGCTGCCTGGTTGTTTTGTGTCTTGTTTTTTTCCTGTTCTTTCCTATTGGGCCCAGACAATGAAGTGTGAAGTGTTCTTATATTGAACACAATGAAGTTTGCTCTAGGTCAAAACTTCCATGTAGGTCTCAGAAGTTCCTGTCAAAACTGCTGTATCAGACATGATGCAACTTAAAATACAATCTGAAAGGGTAAGAGCACAGGAGGCTTCATGTGGAGTCTGTTTCCCAGTGGCAAAGACAGGAATTTAAACTAAAGCAGGCTATGTAATGTTGTGTGGCTTTCAAGCCACAGGTTGTGCCATCTGTCCTTTAGCAGCTCTGTTTTCAGCTTCTGAGACCAGTGCTTTGTGAAGAGGAGAAAAAGGGAGGGTGGTGTTCTAGGACACCAAATGCTAACATGAGTGGTTGTATACAATTAAGTTTGCCAGAAAATTAATTTTAGAACACATTACTATGCAAACCTTTTAGTCATAGTGTATGTTGCTGATATTGTACCTCAGATTATTATATGTACTTTATTACTGCAGAAAACAATTTCTCCTAAAATAAGAGGACCACTGCCAGATCTTACAGGCATCCTTGTTATCTTCTGTTGTTCCTACTCACTCATGTATTTCTTCTTATTATTATGTGCATATATGCATACTTTATACATTTAATATGCAATGTTTTTGCAAGAAACATCTTAGATAAAAATAATCAAATACGTGCTTTATTTATATATCTATAACATGCTTCCCAATGTGAGAAATGGTCTCATCTCTTTCTAGGCATGTTTGTGACAGGAGGTAGTCAAATGAAGGAATCAAAAGCTAAGTTGTACAACTTTTTTACAAACTTGTTTTTCCATTTTAATCAGCTTATAGTGGCTTGTAATTGCTCTCACTGTGAAATTAGTATGGTGACTTTTGTGCTGTGTGTTTTCTGAGTTGTGTTGCCTTTATGACAATAAAAGCCCAGTGCTATGAAGTCAGAGCTAAGCAAAACAAGAGTGTTGCTAACAACTCCAGCCAATATTATGTTCTTACCTTTTAATCATCAGAGAACAAGTGAGAGGTGCAAAAACCAGAATGAGTATCATGCTGAAACAAAGACCAATCACAAAACCTTCAAGTTCTCCTTTATCTGATGGGAAACAGAAAGCTTGAATCAGATTTATGGTCTTAAGTACAGAAAGACCTTATTAACTTCATGAGAGAAATATTTCAAACAGAAGTCAAAGCCAACTTTACACATGTTCTGGAATTAAAGTAAAATCTAGTTAAAACTAAACCTGATATTCTCAGGGAAGCGTGAGCTTTTTGGGTTTATATTTTTAAGATACTGAGGTATCATAGAGTCACAGAATGGCTGGGATTGGAAAGGATCTCTGAAGATCATCTGTTCTAATCCCCTGCTAAAGCAGATTCACCTAAAGCAAGTGACACAGGATTGCATCCAGACAGGTTTTGAGTATTTCTAGGGAAGAAGACTTCCCAGCCTCTCTGAGCAATCTGTTCTCGTATTCTATCATCCTCACAGTAAAGAAGTTCTTCATCATGTTCAGGTGGAAATTCTTGTGTTTCAGTTTATGCTCATTGCCTCTTGTTTTGTTGTTGGGCACCACAGAAAAGAGTCTGGCCCCATCCTCCTGACACTTGCCCATAGGGTATTTATATACATTGATAAGATCCCCTCTGTGTTGCCTCTTCTCAATGATAAAAAGGCCCAGATCTCTCAGACTTTCCTCACTAGTAAGGTGTTCCCGTTCCCTAAACATCTTTGCAACACTCAACTGGACTCACCTCAGCAGCTCCATGTCTCTTTTGTCCTGAGGAGCCCAGAACCAGACACAGCACTCCAGGTGAGGCCTCACCAGGGATGAGTACAGGGGCAGGATCGCCATCCATGACCTGCTGGCAATGCTCTTCCTAATGCCCCCCAAGGTCCCATTGTCCTTCTTGGCCACCAGGACCCGCTGCTGGCTCATGGACACCTTGTCCGCCAGGACCCCCAGGTCCTTCTCTGCAGAGCTGCACCCCAGCAGGTCAGCCCAAGGTACCTGGGGTTGTGTCTCCCCAGGTGCAGGACCCTGCATTTGCCTTTATAGAATTTCTGACAGCTCTTCTCTGCCTATCTCTCCAACTTATCACGTGTTTTTTTTCACCTCATGCTCCTACATGAGCTCTAGCTTGTTTAACAGGTCAGGACCCTCATGCACATATAGCTTAATAAGAAACTATTTGAGTGAAAGTAGCCTTTAATCTGTTTCAGGATTTATTTGTGTCTGGGTGTTTTTTGGGTTGGTTGGTTTTGGTTTTTGTTTTCTGGGGGCTTTTTGTTTCTTTGTTTGGGGTTTTTCATTTGGTTGGGTTTTGTTTTATTTTAGGGTTCATTTGGGAGGTCATGCCTAATCCTGATAGAAATAACACAGTTTCTGTATTTAGTTGGTGTCCATACTTTACCTTTTAAGATTTATCTTTTATCTGCAAACAGCCATTTCTCAATCCTACAAATGCAAACCTACATCTCCTATTGCCTCTTAATACTTGCTTGAGATACTTTCTATCAATATCCCACCTACCTAAAGAGGAGAAAGTGTCTGGGAGGTTAATGAAAGTTGATAAAATGCTCAGGCTAACACAGGAAGCAAAACTGACTGTGATATTAAGAGTGAGTCGGTGCAGATGTCTTCTTAATAGATGCAGACATCAAAAGTTTAAAAATAGTGCTAGTAGAGTGTGATCAGCTCATGATTGTGTTACTGATATTGACAAACCATATTTGCAAAAAAAATTCACTTGCTTTTTCTTTTCCTACCCACCCCAAAACAAAAATGTCTTTTTTTTATTTTTTTATTTTTTTTACCTAACAGCTATGTAATATTAAAAAGTAATTTGGAAAGCTGTGAATTGCTTTGTTGCTGAAATTTGTTTTTTATAGCAAAGAAACCTGACATTCTTCTAATGGTTTAAATAACCTGTGAAATGTCTGGGGAGAGCAAAAATAGTGAATGTAATGTTTAAATTCAGAGTAATTCCTCGAATTTTTAAAATGTTGTATTAATTTCTCTCTGCAATTTTTTTACTTTACTGAAAAACTGAATACTCTCCAAGCATGTATTTGGTAGGATGAATGAAATAGAGTCTGAAGTAAAGCTCCAGGGAGAGACTTTAATATTTTGTGTTGAGAGGAGGGGGGGGGGGGGGGGGAAGAGGGGTGCAAATCCTGTTGATTTTGAAGAAGATTTAAAATTTCTTATTTTTTTATCTCTGCTTTACACTTCTGACTATTCAGTTGTATGGTTTTATACCTCCTTCACTTAATACAAAAAAGCTGCTATGGGGAGAAACCATTTGTGTACTTCTGTCTCTGAATATCACAGGTTACTGATACCATCTTAGCATGTTCTTTTCCTTTGCTATTTAGAAATCTTAATTAAGGGAAGCTGTGGTCAAACAAAAAAAAAGTCTGTTGCAGTGTTAGTTTTAGTTTAACTGATGAGATATTTAACATGTTTGAAAGACTAAGTTTAGCCAACCCTATACGATTTTAAGGTTTTTTTTACTTTTTAAATATAATTGTATGAGTCTTAGCCTATCCAGGCACTTCTGAGAAAAGCAAGTTTTTGCCAGTGACCTAAAGGACCTGTTATTTAGAATGTACTTAAATTATCAGAAAGCAAAATATACTTTGATTAGTATTCACCCACACTAGGAGCAATTGAAAGGTACTTAATCTTTTATTTTTGCAGTTAATGGCTCAGGAAGCCAATTTTGCGTGATTGCTCAGGATTTTGCCAAGAGCAGATGATTGAACATTACTAGTCACAGGCAGAAATTTCAACTGCTGAAATCTAGAGAGTAATTGTCAATAAATTAAGACATAGCTAGCACAAAAAGTTCAGCAAAGATTTCAGAGATGAAGAATCCTAGCTAAGGCTTCCCTGAATACTAGATAATGAAACACAGGCAGAGTTGTTCTGTGACACAAAGTTTACCTCTTGCAGAGGAACAATTTTGTGTTTGCTCTCAGTAACTGAGGGTTGAATAATAAATCTTATGAGTGAGCACAGAGAAAGCATAAAGCAAAGATTCATGCCAGCTAATGCACAGAGGTTCCACAGTACCATATTTTGGAGTGCTGAAAGATTGAGAAAGAGTCAGAGGTCCTTCTCCAGCATTAGTGAATCCTGAAATCTGCACACGATAGGTGGTCTTTTCCTTCAGTCCAGTAAGATGGTAACTTGTGATAGAGGAGTTGAGAGTAATAGCTGAAATGCAAGAGGTTTTAGGAGGAGATGATTAGAAGTCTCATGGCTGAGCATGTGTCAGTGTAGCTGACTGGGGAAAAGGCAAAATTTTAATGCCCCAGTGCTCATCTGGAGGAAGCCAAACCGTGCTGATGTTCTTTGGATGGGTATAAGATTTCTCCAAAATATTTACGTGCATTTTGAATCCAGAGGTTAAAAACCTGAGCTTTTAACACACCAAGGCTGTATTGGGTTTTTATGTGAGGTTTTGGTAGCAGAGGTGCTAGAGGGATGGCTTCTGTGAGAAGCTGCCAGAAGCTTCCCATGTCCAACAGATCCAATCCCAGCTGGCCCCAGGATGGATGTGCTGCTGGCCAAGGCTGAGACAATTAGAAATGGTGGTAATGCCTCTGTGATAAAAGATTTAAGAAGGAAAAAATGTTACTGTGCAAATATAAGAGCAGAGTGACAATTTGTGAGAAGAACAGCCCTGCAGTCACCAAAGCTGGTGAAGGAGGGACAGGAGGTGCTCCAGGAATCAGAGCTGAGGTTCCCCTGCAGCCCCTGGTGCAGAACATGGTGAGGCAGCTGTGGCCCTGCAGCCCCTGGAGGTCCCTGGGGATGCAGAGATCCACCTGCAGCCCCTGGAGGTCCCTGGGTATGCAGAGATCCACCTGCAGCCCCTGGAGGTCCCTGGGGATGCAGAGATCCACCTGCAGCCCCTGGAGGTCCCTGGGGATGCAGAGATCCACCTACAGCCCCTGGAGGTCCCAGGGGATGCAGAGATCCACCTGCAGACCCTGGAGGTCCCTGGGGATGCAGAGATCCACCTACAGCCCCTGGAGGAGACCCAGGCCACAGCAGGTGGATGCCTGAGAGGGGGCTATGGACCCGTGGGAGGCTCGTGCTGGAGCAGGGTCCTGGCAGGGACCTCCAGACCCACAGAGAGAGGAGCCCGTGCTGGAGCAGGTTTCCTGGTAGGATTTGTGACCCTGTGGGAGATCTATGCTGGAGCAGGCTGTGCCTGAAGGACTTCATCCTGGAGGAAGTGAACACTCTGGATGCTGGAGCAATTAGTGAAGAACTGTAGCCCTAGGGGTGGACTCATGTTGGAGAAGCTCATGTTGGAGAACTGTCTCCCATGGGAGGTAACCCATGCTGGAGCAGGAGAAGGGCTCTTCTTGCTGAGCAATGGCAGAAACAATCTGTGATGAACTGACTGTAGCTCCCAGTCTGTGCCTCCCAGTGCTGCTGGTGGGGAAGAGCTAGAGCCCAGGAAGGAGGGAGTGGTGGAGAAAGGTATTTTAAAGGTTTGTTTTACTTGTCTTTATCCTGCTCTGAATTTCATTGGCAATAAATTCCATTAATTTCCCCAAGTCGAGTCCATTTTCCCCTACGGTAATTTGTGATCTCTCCTAGTCCTTATCTCAACCTGTGAATGTTCTGTTACATTTCCTCTTCCCTGTCCACTTGCAGAGGGGATAGAGTGGCTCTGGCATCCAGTGGCTGTGGTATACAGCCAGGGTCCAACCATCATGGGTGATGAATACAGAAAGCTGTGTATACTTCATGTGAGGAAAATAAATCTAACATGCTGAACAGTTATTTTTATCCTGACTGTAACAACTAACATTAGGAGTAGCCCATATCATATACTTTACTCTCACTCCAATTGTCACAAATATCAGGTGATATTTATCTTCCCTACCATGTCTTCTATTCTATTTGAAATTCAGTATATACAAAGTTAATGTATTATCACTTATGGCAAAGAGACTTTCCACTCTAGACCAGAAAGAAAATGTTTATCAAAATAATATGGGGATTTTTTAAAATTGAAAACTCAAGTGGTTTGAATTCACAACTATTAATTTATTCCAAAGTGTAGAAGTTTCATCATTCGTAGTTTGTTAAGGCTGAAACGGTTCTTTAAGGTTATCAAGTCCAAACTTAGACATAAAAACTACCAATTTAAGATAATGTTTCCAAAGTTAAGTTTATAACGGTATCTTTCGAAACAGGTAAGAAATACAAACTGCTAATTGAGTTTAAAAATGAAATATAAAATGTCTTATATCTTACAGAAAGGCTCAGACTCAATCTTGGATGAGGTGTAATGAAACATAAAAGTGTTATGACTGAAGTCGTAATACTGAAAATGTATGTCTTTCTTTAAGTGTTCCTAGAGAATTCTGCTCTAGTCTTAGAAATGTAATTTTTAAGGGAATAGCAATATTTAATTTGAGATAATACCTAGAACATTCTAAGTGTTTGTGTGAGCATTAAAAATCTAACTAGGAGTTGACCTTTGAGAGCAAAGCACTCAATTTGCACAGAAACTGTAAATTACTCAGTAGACTTAATGGTCCAAATGAAGCTTTTCTATGATGACTCTGAGACGCTGCTTTGTTCTGGCAATGGTGACTTACCTGGAGAGTTTTTCCTTGATGAATCTGTGTAACTGATCCTGTATCCCTGGAGAAAGCCCAAACGGTCTTCTGCAGCTATTTCACTCCACTTTACAAGTGCAGAATGCTTTGTTATATTCAGAATTGTCACATTAGCAGGACCAGTCCTAGGAACTTAAAAAAACATATTTGAGTTCTGCATCAATGCCTGTGCAATAGACATACAAGACTGAAACCTAGCTGTTTCCGAGAGAGTTCTTGTCAGATTCTAGATGCTATAAATACAATGTAAAGGGTGCAAGAGAAAGGCAGAATCCCATAGAGTAAAACCCCCTCATCTTAAACGATACCAAATTAGGTAGAAATTGTGACTATATCATTATGAATATTGTACTTCAATAGCAACAGCCATACTCATTTCAACTTGCAATAACTTGCAAACACTATGTTATTGGGATTGGAAAATCTCATTTAATTTAAACTTGAGCCACATGGGTCTCAGACTCTGTTATTTTTGGTAATGTCACACATTATAAAAATATTTCTGTGGGCTTGTCAGTAAGGAACAGAATTCAGGTCATTTACTGCCAGGACATAACAGCTAAGAATAAAGGTAATGTTTCTGGAGAAAGCTGTTCAGTCACCTAGAAAATAAATTTTGTGTAGTCCTCCTTTTATTTCTGCAAATAGGAAACAAGAAAAAACATAGGGAGTGGGGTAATACAAAGGGGAGGAATACCTCCTTCAATGGAGTAAAAGTGGGTCACTCCAAAAGTCTTTTCATGTCTTAGGAAACTTTCACACTGACACACATCAGATGCATGTACCATTATTTTGTACAACTTATATGGCTGAAAATTGTTTATAAAGAAGAATAGGAAAGACAACAACTGCATAGATTTTCTGTGCAGCTCTTGCTTTCTGAGACTCAGAGCATAGCATGAGTGTATAGTGCATTACATTGAGTACAAAATATGTACATCCTTCTTCAGTGTCTCTAGATGCTTTATGCAAATTATTTCAAAGCCAGAATGGGACATAACCTGGGTTTTCAAAAGATAACAGACGTGTTTATAGTGTCCCTATGGGAGACTTTATCTGTTGAAGGAGAAATTGGGAACTAAAATGGCTGTAGTTATCTTATCTCAGGGATAGCTACTGCCCACTCAGCTAGAATATATAAACCCAAACAAAAAACCTATATGTAATGAGACACTACAGATTTTGCAGAAGAACCAAGGTAAACAATGCACTCTCTAGAAGACTTTGTAGAACTCTGAAAATAAATGTTCTCTATTGTACATAAAAAACAGTGCTGAATGGCCCTTGCAAGAATCACATGACTTTAATCAAGATTTTCAATATCTCTTCCATAAAGAAATCCCTGGCTGAAGTTCATCATGTCTAGCATGGTAAGCAGAATACTGGAGTTGAAAACTTAGGCTTTGACAAGTATAGAGATTGGTATAAAAATAGAAATTAATCTTAGGGATTCTGTAACAGAGCAGTTTTTATTGAGAGATCAGCTTACCTAGGTACAAGATGAAAATTTTTTTGAAGCCAGTAATGTATAGGTCTGCCTGGAATGTGGGCAAGGAGAGACATCTTACCAGCAGCTTAGCTGCATTTCTTGCATTTCTTGCCCAACAGTATCCAGAAGAACCCTCATGAAAATGCTGCTTTTTAACTGCCTTAATGTTGCTAAGCATTGGATGGTGACTCAGTACTGGACAGGTATTAAGAGCTGTACTTATCTGGAAGGATCTTCAGTTTTCCCTTAAAAACAGAACAAAAATCCTACTCTGCCCAACCAAAATTAACCAAGAAATCAAAGGGTGCCTCCATAGGCAGTGTTTGCTGTTACCTAATGTGAAATTGCTGGTAGGTCTGTTTATTATTTTCATGCGCATATCCTCTTTACCAGTGCCCCAGTCAACCACAAAACATTTTGGATTGTATTCTGGAGTCCATGTGACGACTGCACTAGTTCCCTGGCTTTTGACATGGATTTTACCAGGCAAGTCTGTGAAAAAATATACAATTAAAGGTCAATAAACAGGAAAGCAGTTTTCTCCCCTATTGTTCTTTGTCCCTTTTGCTCTGTTTTTTAAAAAATTATTCATTAAGCAGTTATCATAGTAAGTGACTTACTTATCACAGTAAGGTTTATACTAGTATTTCAATAGAGGAAACTTAGCATTTACTACTTTGCGGTGGTGGGCTAAGGTGTTGGTTGCTGTTCAAGACTTTTCCTGATTTCTGATTATTTGAAATTCTGTGGCTGTTCGAAGCCACAGGAAGAAGTCTGGTGTTGCTAAATAACCTCCTGTGAGCCGCTAGTAGCTGATATATATAGAGTAACTTCGAGATAGCGCTTGTCTGAGCAGGGGTGGAGGAGAAGAGGCTAATGATAGATCATAGCTAGGTGATTAGAAATTTCATATATTTTGAATTTTCTGAAAGGATCTTTGATTTTGATTATTTGAAAGACAGATTATCAAATTAGGGAATACCTCTGAACGACACTAAGGAGGGAAAAGGGCAACCTGCCATTTTGAGGTAAGAAGTGGAACTTGTGAGAGACATAAACATTCTCCATTTTGTTTCCTGACTGGATACAAGAAAAGCAAATTAATTCTGAGGGAGCTGTGGTTGACTGAGGGAGCTGGGGCTGTCTGAGATGGCTGGGGTAGTTTAGCCTGGAGAAGAGGAGGCTCAGGGGAGACCTTATCACCCTCTACAACTATCCAAAAGGAGGATGTAGCCAGGTGGAGTCAGTCTCTTTCTCCCAAGCAATGAGCCACAGGACAAGAGACACTGTCTTAAGCCATGCCAGGGGAGGCTTAGGCTCAACATTAGAAGGAATTCCTCCACAGAAGGAGAGATTGGGTGTTGGAATGGGCTGTGCAGGAAGGTGGTAGGGTCACTGTTCCTGGCGATGTTTAAGTGGATGTGCCACTTTAGTGCAATGGTCTTGTTGGCAGAATAGTGTTAGGTCATAAATCGGACTCAATTATTTCAGAGGTATTTTCCAAACCAGCTGATTCTGTAAAGAAGTGATTATGTAAAAAAAATGACTGTACTGGCTGAGAAAAAGTTGTGTATGCTGGGAAGGAATTTATCTTAAGAATGCACTTAATACAAGTATCCCCTCAGTAATTCATGATAGGTACAGAAAAGCTGCACTGAAGTACAGTGAAATGGAAACTGGCATCTGTGGAGAGCCATGAAATACAGGTTTAGAGGTTCAGTAGACAGCTAATTGTCAGTCAAAAAGTGGCTTGAACTGGTAGGATATATTTAACAGAAGAGAGCTAAGAGACTGAAATGTAAGGACAAAATCAAGCTGTTGCCTCTTTGCAAGGAAAAGGAGAACAGCATGAGGGGAGTGTTAGAAAATTCTGGATAAGCAATCATTTCCAGCTATCTGAAGACCAACAAGGGTACTTGCATGCTTCTTTATTGTGAATGCTATAGCTCGATTTAAAAAATGTCTTAGTTTGTAAGAGAGGTTCTTCTTATATTGCAGTAAATACACCTCAAGACTGTAACGCGTGAAACTAGCTAAGGAAGACATTACACAATAAGTTTTATTATTTAAATGAGAAGACTGTCTATTTAGGCCTCAGAAAAGCTTACATCTTCATTAGAATGTGACATGTACATCTATTTCTTTTCCTATGTGCCAGTTAGAATAATAGAAATAAAGGACAGTAGCAGGTCTCTTAATAGTTATTTAGCTCAAGAACTTGGACTTGCACATAGTTCTGTGATGTTTTATTAAATCATTGGCACCTAATTGATATTGAGGACAGCACATAAACCATTTTCCTAAGTAGATCCAGCACATAAGTGCTTTCTTCAGCTTGACAAAAAAAGAAGGGCTAAAATGAATATTAAATTGCTAGTCTGTTAACTTCTACTGAAGTATCTTCTTAAGAAACAATTCTGACTCCTAGTATGTGAAAATATTAGCCTAATGAATATTCAAGAGAATACTTTCACCTATCCCAAAGTCTGTCAAAAGGTACCCTTAGAGTTATAAAACTTCCCCACCATTACGATGAATAGAAGATAAGGTAAGTACCTGCTACAGAGAATTCTGGGACAATGTAGAAGGCTTGTGGAGATTCTCCTGCTTCATTATAGGCAGAAATAATAACTCTATAGTGAGCCATGGAGAGATTAACAAGAATTTTTCTGTCTTTGAGAGAGATGTGATTTGGTGGGCGACTGCAGCTGTTGGGTATTCTTTCCACATTAACAAAATATCCAAGGACGTTCTCACTTTGTGCTACCTAGCAACAGGAAAAACATTATTAGTATTAGTATTAGTATAGTTATTATCATTGTTATTATTATTATTCTTATATAAATGCTGTTACATCCTGTGCAGAAAATTAAGAGGAATTTAATTGTATAAGCATGTAGCCTCTAATGATGGGGATAAAATCATGCTGTTTTAATTAGGTCCTTAGGAATCAATGAAGCAAAACATTTCCTTAAAATTAAGAACGTGCTTAAATTGAGAGGATTTAAGTAAAGGATTAGGAATTTTCCTTAATTGAGATCTTAGTTATGGGTATGCAATTAGTAATAACAGCAGTGAAGCAGCTGTAATGTTCTCTACATTTCAGTGGAACATATCCCTCATTATCAGGAACTTGAAAGTTAATGAGAGGTGTTTAATTGAAATTTATGCCTCTGGGGATCCTCATCTGCTAGGGTTTGGTTAGGTATGTAGTCCCTTTAAAGAGAAGTGCTAGTAATTATCCTACAAATTTGGAAGCTGTTAAATATCCATTGGTAGGAATTTCTGGTTGTGGTTCACTCATTATTTTATAGTACTAATTTTAATAAGAGATTGGAAAATGAGTGCACAGAAATTGAAATTACTGCAATATAGACAGAAACTTAATACATGAAAGCCTGTGAATTCTTCAAGGATTATTTCTGATATCAAGATTGTCTGTTACTTCTGGCATTAAAATTAATAGTGTGGAGACACCATGACGCTGTGAGGCTGGGTTATCTTAATGAAATAATTGAACACTTTTGGAGTAACATAGATAGGAAGACATTCAATAATTTAAAAGGCAGAGACAAATGTCTTGTGAGGAATTTCAGATGAAGCTGGAAGCTCTTAAAATGAAAACATGTTTTTCCCTGGAAAAGAAGGGAAATTTTAGTAAATTTTCAAGATTATAAATTCATTTAATTTTTCCTTGTTAGTTTCTAGCACCTGAATCATCAGCTTATAGATGCAATGAATTCTGTAGCAAGTATACAATATCCAGTGCCTTTCACATTTCAGGTGTAGACTTAGTACAATGAGAAAGTCTGTTTTTCCTTTCAACACAATAGATAAATAGCATATACATAACAGGAGGTATCCAGACTCCAAGTGAACCTTACCTCCCATCTCAGAAGAACACTTCTTCTTCCTGGAGAGACTTGTGTAGTTACATTATATGATATTCTGGGCTTGTTCATGAGTTCTGGTAAACATGGAGAAAGTTGGAGACAGGCACTCAGATGAATAATTCTGATCTTCATATTCTCAAGAGTTATCCGAAAATGCTATTTGATATGGCACAGAATTTGGAAAAGCTTTTACATTCATACTTAATACCAGTAGGATGAAACTACATTTCACTTACTGTGAGGGACCAAAATCTCTCTGCTCCAAACACAAACACAGTTGAGGCCATCCTTGGTTATGCATCTGAGCTGAACAATGTATGAAGACATAGCATTTAAATTTGAAATGGTGACATTGACAACATTGTTTCCTACAGGCACCTAAAAAAAATTAAATTTTTGTAACAGCAATAAAACATTATCTCAGATTGTCTTCTCAGCCTAAGACCAGTCTTCTGACTTAGCTGAAAGTAGAGGTTCCTGTCATCAAATAGGAATTATTACGCATTTTAGTCAAGGTATGTTCAGTCTTTCAGGGCAACACTCTTTTTCATGAACTTGTTCTGTTCACTCAAGACAGTAAGTAACCTGGTCTAAATATTACTTTTAAAATCAATTAGACATTACATATACTGAAAAATTAAAATTTACTTAACTCTGATTCTTGTTAATTTTCTCAAAAACAGGAAGTCAAGGGAAAATGAAATATTAAAAAAAAAGTCCTTATTTTTAGAAGTGTTACTATGTTGATATAGATCCACATTGCCGATGTGTTGAACAGCATGGCTGGATTGAGTGTGTGGCTGCCTATATGCCTTAGCACTGCAGAAGAGATTTCATCTGCAGCTCATGATGGCAGTGGAGCCCCAGTAACTGTACAGGGGAATGGAGTTTTTCTTAAAAAAAAGACACCACCATGACTAAGGAAAACCCTGAGCTGAAAAATGCAGAAAAAATAAGAGAAAATACAATAGGAAACTCTTGTTATCACTTAAACTCTTTGCTAAAACCCCACAAAAACAACAAAGGCCCACTGTAAGGTGACTAACTCTTCTCTTTCAGTTTCTACAGTACTTTATTTTTTAATTAATGTTTAATTAACTTCTGTGACACTGTGCTCACCTCCCTCCCCTCCACTTCCCCTCCATCCTGATCTTTATTTCCTGTAGTCCTGACCAAGTGATAGCCAATATCAGCAGTCATAACAGATGTGTCTGGACCAGTATCTGGCTCAGGCAGACAGACAACAACATGAAAGACAAGTGTTAATTTTAACAGTTCATCCACCTAATCATAGTGCTGATTAAGATTTGACTCAAGCCAGCTTTGGAAAAAAGCGTGAAGTGAGCATACATATATGTCTTTAAGTTTCTCATCTTACCCATTAAACAGTGGACAGCCCACAGCCTCCTGAGCTCTCCTGCACTTCAGTGGGCTATACAACAGAACTTACAAAGGTTACTCCTCAAGGATGAAAGTATTCTTCTCATCAGATACTTGATAATTCAATTGGAAATTAACACACTGAAAATTTTAAATCTCAGTTAAGTGGTACAAAGGATTGATTGTGCACATATAATCCTTTAGACATAAACTGTTGACCAGGTCTGGGACTAAATCTGGATTTAGAAGCAACTAGATTGGCAGGGGCTCTAAGAAGAATTTTAGAATGCAAGGGGAGCCTTTTCCAAATATCGTGACCCAAGTAAAAGGTGTCCCTCACAGTTCTGTCTGACTCTATTCCCTATGAAGTAATCAAGTGCTCCTTGCCATCTCCTATTGTTAAACCCCTGTCACATTTACTATCAAACTTTGCTAGATTTCTGTTTTATATCAATAAACGTATGGCAACTTCTTTCTTATGAGTGAAGGGTATTACTCTGTCCATGACAATTTCATACAACTTTGCTAATAAAAAATGCTTGGTTGCAAAATAAATCCCACTACCCACAATATTACAGAAAGACTCCATGTCTCTACAGAATAAGAAGGAAGTGGAATAGATTTAAAACCCAAATGTTAAATTACATTACAGGTACCGCTATTTCACTCGTGATGAACACCAGCTTTATACATCCTCTGTGCATGTATGACCATGCTCACTTACTCATCTGCAAGTGTAGCCTGTTTATACTATTAGGAAGAGATTATAGCCTAAATTCATAGAATCAGCTGGGACCTGGGAGATAATGAATATTTATGACTTGTAGTCTTCACTCCTTCGTGTCACTCAGTGTGGCTGTCTCTACTCATCCTTCGCTCGTCCTTCCCCTGTACAAAGTGCATTTGTACTGCTTTTAATCCCTTGTCTGCTCTTCCACATGCCACATACCAGACTGTCTGCATGTGGTTTTCTATCTATTCCACTACTGGGTGGGCTATGCAAAGGTGACTGGCTGCCATAGGATGGTCTCAGACTTGTATGCAAGCGAAAGAGGGGACCTTCCCAAGACCAGCGTGTTCTTTGTACTGAGACAAAACATTTCGTACGTGGGCCTCTCAAAGTACCTCTTCTGAAGTGACTAAATAAACAGGCAGTCTGTGACAGGAGAAATGGGAACACTCTTCTGAGACAAAAGGAAGAAAAAGAGAGATTTTTGTAATAAAAAGGAAGCAAAGAGGCTCCTGGGCAAGCAGTTTCCCAAGAAGTGGGGACTGTTGCTATTTGAAGAGTTTTCTTTTTGAGGTTATGTTCCACTTGATAAATGCATATTTAAAACCTGATTAACAAATATAAAAATAACAGAGCTTGAAAAACAATTTCAGGGACTTAGTGATACAAATCATGCATACATGCCTGCCTGCTGGAGAGCTTGACATGCTGGATAGGAGGGGGCAGGATAAGCAGTCATTGCTGCTACATACAGACATTATTGAAATTATGACTGATTTTCCATCTCTTATGTATTCCCTTTAGTTTTGTACTGCCCTGTTGCTGTGCCATATGGCATGTCCTAAAATGCATCTGGAACTGATCTTGTATCCCACAACATCCTTCTCTCCAAATTGGATAGTGATGGATTTGATGGGTAAACTGTTACGTGGATTAGCAAATGGCTGGATGGTCACATCCAGAAGGTAGTGGTCAGTGGCTCAGAATGCCAGTGGACATCAGTGACGTGTTCACCAGGGGTCCATAGTGGGTGTGACCAATGTTATCTAATATCTTCAGTAATATCTTAGAGGAGTCCAGTGCACCCTTTGCAAATTTGCAGATGACCCCAAGCTGAGTGGTGCTGTTGGCACTCCTGAAGGATGGGATGCCATCCAGAGATACCTGGACAGGCTCCACAGGTGGACCATTGGAACCTCATGTGGTTTAACAAGACCATGTGCAAGGTGCTGCACCTGTGTCAGAGCAGCCCTGGTACCAGCCCAGGCTGGGGAATGGACAGATCACAGCAGCCCTGCCCAGAGGGGCTTGGGGGTGCTGGTGGGTGAGAGGCTGGACATGACCCAGCCATGGGCACTCCCAGCCCAGAGAGCCAAACGTGTCCTGGGCTGCATCCAGAGCAGCGTGGGCAGCAGGGCCAGGGAGGGAATTCTGCCCCTCTGCTCTGCTCTGCTGAGACCCCACCTGCAGGGCTGCATCAGCTCTGGAGTTGTTACTGAACAGTCCTGTAAGGCAATGTATATACAACAGTGGAGGAAGGTGCTGGAAATTCTTTTAACTTCGACACAATAGAGCATGACCCCCCTATTTGTTGTTAGTGCTTAATTTTGTACATGCAGTACTTAGTACAAATACCAGAGATTGATGTGGCCTTGTGCACAGATGTAACTCCCTACATCTGTGACTAATAAACTTGTTCCAGTTAATGCTTTCTTGTTTACTTCTATAAGTGATTTAATATGTACTAACTAATATCTCAGTTTTGAGAACAAGGATTGTGTGTCAGGGCAAAGAATGATAAGAGGAGTACATTATGACCTGATGACATATTTGAGATAGTCCCAAGGAGAAAAGATTCGTCAGAAGATCTGGAACCATAGCCAAACAAGTGGAAATAATTAGCATATATGTGTGTGTTCAGGAAACATGAAAATACAATCATTTCAGGAATATAACCTGGTCTCTTAGGTTTCTGGACATGCATGCTTTGAAGAGAATCATCCATGCATTCAGCACTGCTAATGAAATAATAGTGGCTTCCTAATCTAATAAATTCAATGGAGATTTTATTTCCCAATTTCCAGGGACAGAGTCCCCAGCAGAGGCAGGATATGGACCTGTTGGAATGAATCCAAAGGAGGACCACCAAATAGATCAGTGGGATGGAGTAACTCTCCTGTGAGGAAAGGCTGAGAGAATTGGGATTGTTCAGTTTGGAAAAGAGGCGGCTTTGAGTAGGCCTTATTACTGCCTTCCAGTACCTCAAGAGAACTTACAGGAAAGAAGGGGCAAGACTATTTACAAGAACATGTAGTGACAGGACAAGGTGTGATGGCTGTAGACTGAAAGAGAGTAGGTTTAGATTAGTTAGTAGGAAGAAATTCTTCACTGTGAGGGTGGTGAGGCACTGGAACAGGGAAGTTGTGTATGCTCCATCTCTGGAAGTGTTTAAGGCCAGTTTGGATGGGGCATCCTGGTCTACTAGAATGTGGCCCTGCACATGGCAGGACTGGTTGGAACTAGATGATCTTCAAGTTCCCTTCCAACTCAAACTATTCTATGATTCTATGACTCTATTACAGAGAAATTATTTATCTTCTTTCAAAGAAGAAAATCTGGAATACTTACACAAACCAAAAGTTTGTAAAGTATGAATTAATACCTTAAAAAACAAAGCAACCTGATCTGTTTGAAAATGTAATGATACCAGCTAAAAAGCAATATTGTAAATCACTGAAAGCATGATTTAGATCTGAGTTTACATGGCATTTCTGATATTCAGCTTTTGCATCACTGGTAGCTGTAGTGTCTTACTGGTAGGTTAATGAACCAGACAACATGCTACTCTATTTTATTTTTTTTAAAGCTACTATTCCTTCTTTCCCAAGCATTTTATGATTTGCTAGAACCAAACTAAGGTGCCTTAGTGGGATCTGCCTACAAAGTGACTCCTTGCTGTGCCTCCTTGCAATGCTTGTGCTGAATGTAATATGTGCAGCTGAGCTGATATTGAGGCACCTTATGTTCCCATGAGGCTGTCATCTGGAAGTACTTACCAGTGTCCATGGAGCAGATTCTGTGAGTGCCTCTCTGTATCTCAGCTCATACTGTGCATGAGCTGTCGTCAGGTCCCACTTAATTATCAATTGGTTTGTGATCTGATAAGCATTTATGTTAGATGGTGACAAGCACTTTCCTAAAATGGGGGATATACAGCTGTTAAAAATGCAAGAGAAGCAGGAAAGCTTTGGTAATTATGTCTGTTGAGTGTGGTCTATAAAAATAAAAAGACTTGGCACAGTATACTGAACACTGTGAGACTTCAAAAAACCCTGGAAATGAATAATTACTACATCTTTATGGTATCAACAAAATACCGTTGTTCCTCTTCCCTTTTTTTTGTGAATGTTTCAACTGATTTCAGGAACACTCTTTTTCTAAGCAGTTACTATTCTGAGTAAGGCTGGAAGGCAAAATCAAAATGTCAGGAGCACCTGTAATAGTACAGAAAATATCCAGAATAGCTTTACATTTCAGTAAGTGCAAATATACTTTCCAGTAAATATACCTCTCCAATAAAGACAATGTGGCCAAAAGTTTTCGGTAAAGGTTATATTGATAATTTGGGTTGTACCGGTAGTAACCCCCAGCAGTGAGAAGCATTGTTATTTCTTGGGCCATGATTAGTCTGAGAAGGTGAAGTTTTGTAAAGTTCTTAACATTAGTTCAATGACCAGATAGGTAGGGAAACATTAAATAATCACCTAAAGGGCATAGTAAATAGGGCTGTTTTTTCATATCATTTTGTAGCCCTGTGTAATGGATAAGTGGCCTTAGAAAAGAGTTGAACTTTGAAAATTTTCTCAAAATACTAATGCTCAATATCAAGGATTCCTTAGGTGCACAGTGCTGAGTCAACCTGCTCTTTGTAAACCAATACAAAGAAATTCAGAAAACCATCAAAGAGAGCATAGAAAGCTGGTTAGGTTCGGTACACAAATATTACTGTATGTTTTTCTGGATATGAATATTAAATATTCCAGCAAAATATTTAACATAAAACCCTCCTCCCATAAAATGTGATAGACTTCATCACATTAACTTCATTATTAACTTCATTCAAGGAAGTCAAACGGCATCTTAGCTCTCTGAATCTGTAAAAATAACAAGAGTATTTTGGGAGCTGAACTTTTGGAAATAGTCTTTACAGACTACAGATTTAGCTGGGCACTGCAGAAGCACAACTTCTGAAAATGCTGTACCTGCTTTGCTTGGTAAAATTGAGATATTCTTTCCTTTTGCACAGGTGTCATGAGCATAATTCACTGCTATCCAAATGGATACAAATCTCTCCATGTAGAGATTCGTCCGTTCTATTGTGATGGAAGGTGATGATGTTTTTCGTTGAAAAAGTTTTCGTATTTTGTTCCTGCAGAGAAAAGGAGGCAGAATAAAAAACATTTGACTGGATTATAGTTATTCTTTCTTCTCCTGCACAAGAAAGCAAGAAAGCAAGATTACAGTAATTGATAGCTTTCCAGGTACCACTACACATAATTACGCTTCTGGAAATCATGAAGGTTCACACTGAGCAGCTTGAAACAGCAAGATGAATTCCAGCACCCCAGTAACCCCAGTAAATTTAAATTTGCAAATCCTTGTGTTGTGTGGTAGAGAACTGTTGAATTCCTTAAACTTTTAAGGCATCGCATGATACAACAAAAAGAAGTATGACCTTCTTTTGTACTTACTGTGGGATATATAGAGCATTTTGAAGATATAAAATTAGGTTAGATATTACTTCATAAAACCATGTCTCCTATCACAAGGGCACCCAAATTCCTTTTGAGCAGAAAAAATGTCCCAGTTACATGAATCTAAATTACTATAAAGTTATGAAAAACCTCTTATGAGTTATATGCCTACCTTCTGGCTTCTCTTCCTGCCAATCATCAGTTTTACAGAGATATTTAAATGTCACCTGAGTCCTCAGCCCTGTAGATTTCTCCTGGTATATCTGATACACACAGCACAGGAAGTCCAAGAGGTTTGATGCCTTACACTTTTGCTGCCTATTTTTTTTTCCCCTGTCTCTCTCATTTAGTCTCTGACACACACAGGACAGGTTTTTCCAAGGTTAAAATTGTGGAAGTTCGGTGTTCTTAAGGAGATGGGCTAGCGTACTAGTTGCCTACCTATGCATTTCAAGTATTAAATTACACACATCATGATTCAATACTTAATACCTGAGCAAAACTACTTGAAGGTTTTCCTGCCTTCTGCTTCAGGCCAGTTGTGAATCAGCCATTAAAATTTCAAAGCACGATTTTGAATTCTTGGCTGGAACTTCTCTGTGGGTGTGTTTATCTATAATCTTTTTCTTCCTGACAACTAAATCATAAGGAGCAAGGAAAGGAACTATTACAACATCAGACTGATGTTACATGCAGGAAGGGGTGATACCCTCTTCTAGGCAAGTTAAAAGCCCTTTCACATATGGGTTTTTTTTTTTATTTTCCTTTTAACACAGTAGAAGAAGAGATAGGAGGTTTATCTTCAAGACCACCGAGTGGAAGCTTAGGAGACTAAGGTTAAAGTCCTGACTCTGACTTGATGAAAACATCAACATCTCTGCCAGGGAATTGTCTCCCTCTTCCCTCAATGACATCCTATTCCATTCTTTTTTCTGCCTGTTCTGTTCATGACATCAACCATGCAGCTTGGGAACGGCACGGTCTGGTTCTGGCCTAGGACTTCAAGAGCAACTATCTTACAAATATTTCAGCTGATAACATCTCTTCAGAAACAGAGCTGCCTCACAGATGTTTCTGCCCTCCCAAAAGATTTGGATTCCTTGAAGTCCCAAGAGGCAAGACAGCAAATGCAGTGGAATGTGGTGCTTGTTGCAAATTGATGCCTGCTGCTACCTCCAGTGAGAAAATATTGAAGGTGATGAGGGAGTAACTTCAGCCTCTAGGTGGTTGCTTTACTCCTCTGCAGTGTGAAGATGATCACCCAGGGGAATTTCCCAGTGTGGTGACATTTTCTTAGCTTTAGGAGATGCTTCTAACCACAGCTTATTTTTAATGACAAGGGATGGCTTCGTGGCAAAATAATCAGCAATGAATATCAAAATACCAACGGCATACAGTGTTGTACTCTGTGTACCCCGTGATACAGTCTCATGGCAAAGATCAGGTTTTCTGATCTCACGTCTCTATTTCTGAACACACCCTTAATCTCATGGGAGATTCCAAATATCTAGATATAAAATGAAGAAATTCAATTTTGTAATGCAGCTGCAACTGAAGATACCGTATTTGAGGTAATCAGTTCAAAATTAACCCTTCAAGTTCATTCCATCTATTAAACCACTACTTGATAATTCAGAATTGCCAGAAAGCATGCCACATTTGACAGCTCCTTGGGTACATGTTATAACAAAATTCATACTACATAAAATAAAAGCCTAATGTCTGTTTATGTTTGCATTTTTGGTTTAATTTTTTTTTTTTTTACTTTGAATAAATCTGTGTTGAATAGTCAATAAAAGTCAACAGTTGCAAATAAAGGCAATTGAGTAAGCTCATCTTTGGCAATAATGCTTTAAAGAGTGTGTTGGAGGCACGGTATAATGTATAAAGACTTTGTATTGGGTTTGCATGGCAAGGTTTTTGGAGCAGGGGAGCAGATTGCTGCAGAGGTGGCTTCCTTGAGAAGCTGCAATAAGCTTTCCCCATATACAACAAAGCCAATTCCAGCTGCCTTCAGGACAGGTCTGCTGCTGACCAAGGCACAGCAGCAGCTGGCAGAGAGGAATGGGAGCATATGGGAGCAGCAGAGAGCCCACACTGGAGCAGGTTTGAAGGGTCGTGAACCCATGAGGGACCTGCTTTGGAGCAGGCTGCTCTTGAAGGGCTGGCACCCCATGGAAGAGACCTACACTGCAGCAGGTCATGAAGAAATGCAGTCCCTTGGGAAGAATTCATGCTGGAGGAGCTCATGATGGACTGTCTCCTGTGGGAGGATTCCCATGCTGGACCAGAGGAAGAGTGAGAAGAAAAAAGAAGTGACAGGCACAACATGTGATGGACTGACCACAGTCTCATTTCCCATCCCCCCACAATGCTGGGGTGGAGTAGGTAGAGAATTCAGGAGAAAAATTAAACCCAGTAAGAAGAAAAACCAGGGGGAGGGGTGGAGGGGACAGAGAAGGGGAAGGTGTTTCAGGTTTTAGCTCTATTTCTCATTACTCTACTCTGATTTGAATGTTAATGAATTAAATTAATTTTCCCAAGTCAGGTCTGTTTTGCCAATGACAGTAATTGCTGAGAGCTGTCTTCCTGTCCTTATCTCGACCCATGATCCTTTGTCATATTTTCTCTGCCCTGTTGGACTGAGGAGGGGAGGGATAGAACAGGTTTTGTGGTGTCTAGCCAAAATCAACCTACCACTCATTCTCTTACCAAGCTCTTACAAATCAATAAGTATTGATGAGAAGTGATGAAACATATTGACCAGCATTGTGTAACAATCTATAACTTGATGAAATACACTGGAGTATAACTCTGGCAGATGGTGGGAATCACATCTAACAGCAATAACAGCTTTTTGTTTTCTGTGATTACTTTTCAGACTTACCATTTTAAGTATACAGTGTAATTAACTGTATTTGCAGCACTAGGTACTGGCAGCCAGGTACAGGTTAGATCCTCATTTAATTCTTTGTAACACACCAATTCGTTGTCCCAATCTGGAAGATGAAAACATGTGCACTGGAAAAGACCCATCACAGACAACCATTAACTGACTCAAAGGGGCTGTGAGTAATGAAACCAGATATAAACCAGGCCAGAACTGGTCAACTAGACCCGAGAACTGCTTTGAAGTTCAGAACTACACATTATTGCTGGGTAAAAACAATATTACTTTTATACTGGCAGCTTTATAAAGAATTAATTATAAAACAGGATGGGCATCAGTTTACGTATATTTTTCGCAACTGAACATGCCCTTTTTTCAGTTGATGTGAAAGTAAACACTGATGACATTATTAAAAGAACTTATTTTTTGTCATTAGTAGTTAAATTTATGTCAGTATTTCAAAAATCTCTTATCAGAAATGCTAATGATAAAATATGACCATTGTTCTTCTCTTGCTTTGTGTCTTACTGTCTGAACTATTAGTTCAGAAGAATCAGTCACAGTCTCAAAGTACCACCTAAAGGACTTTTCAAAAAGACTCAGATTCTTCTGTTATTGTTGTTGTTCAGAAAAGCAGACAAGGACCTCAACAGGCATGGTATCCTCATGGTGAATTTTTCCTGATGAGTAGAGTCACACATTCTTCATACCTGTTGGGTTTAACAAGTTGCCAATAGGCCTATCAATCTTAAATAAGAAAGTTTTTCTGTGTGATAAGTAAATATGAATATGTCTGGAGCTGGTGTTGTAGGATAGTTGTGGTATCTCATAACCTAGGTTATGAGTTAAAAGATCAATTCTCTTTTCCTCATTTCTTCCCACAACCTGAGTTACAAAGTATCCTTGGCATTCTTTTCATCATTGAGATGGCAAATGCATATTTAGGCTGAAAAGTCTTTTGGAAAAAAAGTGTGTCAGGTGAGAATAGCACTGACTTGAATAACCTCACCTTATGACACTTCTCTCATACTATATAAATAATGCTTTTTTAATAAAGTTATGCTGCATCAGTTCAGGCATGTACAGGCTCCTTTCAGAAAGGTAGAGATCATGGCTTCCTTATTTCCATAGCAATGTGAAGCATTACAGAATTCTTTGCTTTTCTAGTCTGGCCACCAAACCATATCTTGGCCTCCTCACCCATGACCATTATGTCTGTCAGCAGCAGGGAAAACAGTAACAGCTCTCACGTTCTTCTCCTGATTTACTCGGAATTAAACCTTACCCTTAGTTTTTTATTGTCATTTTGAAGAAACATCTGAAAACACAACCTTTTTAGAACTGCTGTACTACTTCATGTCAATGCATTGGTAATACACTGCTCCTGAAATGATTTGAAATAAGAGTTCTATTAACTCAGATTCACACAGTGTCTACCATGCTGTAGACCTGTCTCTGCTCACAGAGGAGCAGGGGTCGTATTGCTCCTCATGCTCTAAGTTTCAAAATATCCCCTTGTCTTTGTCTATGAGATTATGGTATTAGAGCAGACAAAGGAAAAATAGTAGATTTTGTGTGTGGAAATAATGTATTAGCTCAAGTAACACCCCAAAGCATCCTCCCACCCCCAATATACTGAAGTTCTATATTACCTTCTCCATATGAGTATAATGAATCTTGCACACTTCTATATTCACTTGTCTTGTTTGTGGATATGAGTGTCCACATGCACATTCATTTTTATTCTAGTGCTTTCTTTGTTTTACTGCCCCACCTTAACATGCGTAGTTTTAGTTCTTCCCAGACTAGTATAGTACTACAATTGTATCATGTCTGCGCTCCAAGAGTTCTACAAAGGAAGAAAAAAATTCAGTTTTTTCTTCCTTTGAAAACACAGTTCAGTTTCTCCAATTAAAAAAAAAAACCAAACCAACAAACAAACCAAACCCCAAACCACCCACCTTTAATTTTTTTCACTCTAGAACTTTCTGTTTTTCTTCCCGAGCATCTGGTTTTCTCACTAATGATTTAGTGGAGCTTAGTCTGGCAGGTTAATTGCAAGGACTAGATAATTATCCATGGCTAATTTCAGAAGAACATAGTCCTGCAGATGTCTGGCCCCGTGTCACAGTGTTCTCAAGAACCTGTCATCTCTGCTGTGTCTGCTAGCAAGCAGGATGTTCCTGCCTATATTAAATCCTGCACAAAGTACATCAGATGACCACCCACTGCTCTGTAATACTCTCAATCAAAATGTGTTGTACTGTTCCTTCTGGCCATCATCAGCAAGTTCCCAGTTAAAAGGAAAGCAGAGACAGCCGTCGCACAGGAACATTAGAGCATCCGCCGTCTTTTGGAACGGGCTCCACTCACAGCGCCCGGGTGAGCCCTGCTCCCTGCAGTCACACAGGCACACCTGCCCGTGCTGCTCAGGCCAGGTGTTCCCCTCGGGAAAGGCTTTTTAGGGGCCGTGTTTCCCGAGAGTCCCTGGCTGTCAGCAGCCCTCAGCGCCCGCGGAGCCCGGGCACCGCGCCGGGACCCGAGCGTTCCACCCACCTGGCAGCTGCCGGCAGAACGGAGAGTCCCAGTCTGTGCAGAGGCAGGAGTCTGGGCAGCGCAGAAAGGAAGGGGAAAAAAAAAAAAAAAGGAATTGTTGGTCAAGACAACCGCAAAAGAAGTAAGAAAAATGCTGCTGGTGGTTGTTTCTCCTACCCACAGAACTTAATTTGGTCATGATTTTGTTCATACGGCCTCATCCTTGAGTAGCATTAAGAATTCTGACTGTCCATAAGCAACAGTAGGCTGTGCAGTATATGAAAACTCACCTCTAACAAGTAAAAAGATAGCTGCCAGCAGAGAGTTCTTCATCTTCTCTGTAAAGAAGCATAATGATTACCATCAACATTACGCTGTCTTCAGTCTATTTTTCACACTTCCTCTTCAAACTTCCTATTCATTCTAGCACCTATACTGCTACTGGCTGAACAAAAGTAATAAATTTATTAATGACAATGACAAGGACACTTGAGTTCTGTGTTTTTAATTATACTTACAAAATCCTAAAAATTCTTCTGGAAAACGGGAACTCTCCACCCTGGTTTTTGTAAGCACTCACAGTGAGATTCTTGACAATGCCAGCAGTGACAGAGCAGTGCAAACTGAATTAAGCTTATAGATAATTCAAATTCCTTTGAAAACCCTAATCTCACTGCAAATTAGTGATATTCACACTAGTAAAAAGGAAGTCAAGGTGTTTGACTGAATCTAATATGAATTCTTGGATGCTGTAGAAATAATAGCAGCTGAAGACCCTGACTTTGTCTTCACTTTCTGACATCTTTCATCTTTCAGTGTAATTTCCCTACCACGAGGATGCTATATCTACATTGTTGGTACCTACACTGGGGCCCTAATACAGACAAAAATCACCATAGCATAAATCAGAAGTTTGCTCCACACCATTAATTCAGAGAACATTCTGAACACAGAAGCCAGCAGAGACATAACAGCTGTTACTGTTACAGCAGTAAAGGGAAATTTTCAGAAAATTTTGTTACGGTGGGAAATTTCCCTTCTGGGCTTAGACAGCTGCTATCAGAGATTGGATCCAGACCTACCTGGAGATAGGCAAATTATTAACTTATCTTGGCAACCGTGGTATATTTCAGGTTGAGTGTTGATAGAAAAAAAAAAAAAAAATCTGCCTAAAATTAATCACTTTCCTAAAGAGAGAGGCATGCTTCTCAGCATGGTCTACAGTAGAGGTGAGTGACTAATGCAACAACCGTGTATTATCAGATTTTATGAAGGGCAGTCATGAAAGGCAAGTGATCAAGGAATTCTGAGTGCTACAGGGGGTTTCCTAGTGACGAATTCACTGGCCTTGGGAGTAAGCTCCAAAATGCTGAGGGGGTACAGATACAATGTAGGATCACAACCCCTATTATCTGAGAGGTCCAACAATTGGCCTTGACAATGCCTCCAACAAGGAATAGCCAAGAGGACAGGGTCAACTGATGATCATAAGGAGACACTGATAAAGAAAAAATGCAAGTCATCTGTGACAGATTTTGACAGTGGGGCTGAAGAGCTGCAGACTCAGAATAGTGTAGAAGCTAAGATATGAAGAAAACTTTAACATTTATATGTATTGGTTTGATGTGCTCAGCTTAATTACATTCAAAACAACCTATCCTAAATGAAAGCCATGTAATTAACCCAATGAAAGAGCAGGATTGGATTTAGTGTGCACAGAATTAGAACAGAGCATACTGGAGAGATTTAAACCAAATGAAGCAAGTCCATATCATCTTTGCTCAAGGTCTAGGTCTCAGTATAAATGTCACTGTCATTTGAAGAAAAAAGTTAATTCTGACAAGCAGAGAAAATACCTTATCAGTCCAAATAGCAGAGGAGATACAATCTTGAAAATTGGAATTTCACATTTGAGTGAAATTTTTTACTATATATTTTTACTACATTTATTACTATAGGATAGCTATTGAGTTACTATAGTAACCTTTTAATGTATAACAAAAGATAAACTCAAATATAATAATTATTTGAGGTAAATTTTGCATAGAACCACTTTTTCAAATATTCAATATTTCAGCTTTTTTCACCACTATGAACTTCTATCAGAATTGCAAATGCTTGAAGTTTTCCTGTTAATTCAGATGAGGATAAATTATGCCATCTTCTGTGATATGTTTGGAAGTGCAGAATGACTGTAGGATACTTCCAGCTTTTCTTCATTTTGACCTAGATGTTTTTTCAGACTTAAGTTTATGCATAATTCAAGATGAGGTTTTCCATGAGTGCTTTCCCCCATCATTTCCTTATATAAGTTCTGCAATAAAAGACATGGCAGGCTCCTGATCTCTGCAGAATGTCATCTTGAAATCAATTAAACTTTCCATTTAGACTGGATTTGACAATGTAAATGAATCTAAACCCCACATCCTTTTCTGTTCCCCCCCAACATTATCTGTTAACTCTTGCTCTTCAAAGGGAAAACAATCTCTGAAGACAGGAAGGTTCAGCCAGGAAAATGCCAGCGGCCCCTTCGTCCTGCTCTGTGCCTGTGGAGCCACAGCTCTTGTAGCACATCATGGGAGGACTGGTCAAGCCATGAACTTCTCAGCGCATTTTTGCAGACCAACCACGTGTCTGTGATTGCTAATGAACCAGAAGGGGTCTGAAATCTTGTTTGTTGGGAGC